TATTTCCCCCTAATGCCAACAAGATGGGTATTTGGAAGAAGAAGTGGTTCCACTTTGGGGAGATGCCAGCATCCTAATCTGGGGAGTGATAATCTGAGGCTTGAACTACCCTCTACCACCCTTCTTAAAAACATGTCTCTATTACTATCTACTTCTTAATCAGAATTGTAAAGCAAAGTAGCTGACTTAGAAGCAATCTGTGGAAAATGTAAACACTGAAGAGAAAATAACCGCCCCACCCCTTTGGGAGCTTACGCTGTTCTTTTATGTTTCTCATTTCATCCCATCCACTTTCAATTAGTACTTCCTGTTTAAACAATATCAGATTTTTCCATCAGATCTGTGGTGGAAAACTCATTCATCCATTCGGCATAAGAGAGGTCAAGATCTTTATCTTTCTTTAAAGATTTGAGAAATAGAATTCCTGTCATTTGTGTGGTGGGAATAAGCAGCTGTAAGGAACAAACGAAACCATTCTAAAAACCGTGATATATGGCACAGAGCCGCCTCTTGCAGACAAGCCTATGTGTGGCTTATGCAAACAAGAAACATATTCATGGTTCTACACAGATAAGTGTAATTTTATACTTATCAGCTGGGATTCAAAGAGCCCATCTGTGAGCCAAAAGCAGTTGTGCCTTGATTCCGCCCATTACATGAATCGGTTTTCTCTTATTTATTATATTTAAATAGCTTTAGTAGAGACTACATCATGATTCAAATTTAAACCTCTCTCTTCTTGAGACTTCAAGTACTTCTTACCTTTAACTTGTTTACAAATTTGAAATTTCTATGATGTCTATAGTTTGCAAAGTCAAAGCCCTTATTTTGCAAGTTCTGCTCAACCTTCTCCAGTCTGACAAGGTAAGTAAAATGAACTTTGTACAAAGTGACACTAGACTTCTTCTTCGGCTGCAAGATGATTCTTGGAAAGTATCTTATAACAATACTGGAAACTTTCTGTCCACAGCTGTCTCTCTTCTTCTGCAATATGTTTTATCATGTCAGCACCAGAGTAGTCACACATGTGCTGTGTTATGCTCCACATGGAGGAACTGATAAACATCTGAGAGTCCTGCTGTCCTAAAAGAGTTCGACGGAAGGAAAATGCCAGTTCCACAAAAAGCCGAGGGATAATTGATGGAATAATCCTAATACTGTAATGTAATCTATGAAATAGTTTTCTCATCATCTGTAAAGTTCACATACATTTGTGACTCCTTTCTCATTTGAAACACAAGAGAAAATCCACAGATCCACTATCTAGCATTATATGCTTTGATTTATATTTTCCCTTCCTTGTTCTAAAAGCTTAATACAGTTAATGTTTCCTAAAATAAAATATATTTCAGATTTATAAATGGTTGATTTTAAAAAACTAAAAATTTGTTCCATTTTTTAAAGCTGAAATGTTGACATGTACAAAATGTAATAACTCAGCATTTTCAAACAAGCTTGCATGTGACCTGTGCAAATATGAAGTGACACAGCTGATGTGATAAATCTAACAGGAAGGATGGAGTCAGTTCCCAGAACTAGTGCTTCTTAATCTTGGGCAGTGTCTAATGCACCTTTCCACCTAAGGGAAGGGGTGTGGAAACAATACAATCATTTTCCTTAACGCAGAAGATTAAACAGAGCAGTGTTGAAGAGTTCATTTATCCTAGTTTCCCAAACCGAGGGGGGTGAAAACCTGATCAATAGCTCACATGTTTAATATGATCAAGAAAATGAAGTCTAATTTCCAAGCACTGATTTTTCTAAAAATACTTTAATATTCAGTTACCCTGATGCAGCTCTATAAGCACAAAGAAGTTGTAGCTGCATGTGATAGCCCTGCCAGAATATCAGCAATCTGCTGTTCCATGCAAAGGAAGAAGAAAAAATGACTACATATTCTAGACATACACCTACCACCGCCCCTGACCAGCTGTTGGGTACGATGGCTGAATTTCTATCTGGGGTACACAAAACACAAGCCAAATATAGGCTGGTTAGATCTTGTGCTTGGGTCCTGTTTGCAGGTTTCCCAAAGGCACGCCACAGGTTGGCTACTGGGAGAACAGGATGCTGGACTAGATAGGCCATTTCCTGATGCAGCAGGCTGTTCTTACCTTCTTATGAACAGTTAACATCATAGTTCAAATTCCTGGACACTGGCACAAGAGCCTGCAATAAATCTAGATGCCAACTTTGCTGCCACATACACCCGGACATCATCATTATTGGCCCCAATACCATCAAACATACCATCTCAGGCCTATTTAATTGTTTATCTTCCAACGTTATATGTGCTATCAATGGCCAACAGTGCCCTTCAGCTCTCTATATTGGACAAACAGGACAAAACTTACGCCAAAGAATAAATGGACATAAATCTGACATCAGGAATCATAAAACAAACCAATAGGAGAACACTTCAGTCTCCCAGGACATTCTATACAAGAACTTAAAAGTAGCTGTCTTATTGCAAAAGAATTTTAGAAATACACTTGAAAGAGAAGTTGCTGAATTACAACTCATTACCAAACTAAAAACGATGGAGAGACCTGGTCTGAATAGAGATATTGGATTCATGTCCCATTATACACGCTAAAGCTAATTTTGGACATCTATCCCTTTAAAAATCCCTTGCCCTTCCCTGTGGAACAAACTGCCATCATTAACAGTCATCAACAGTTACAAGGTTGTAGTGACCTCTGCTTCAGAGTATCTGAATAAGTGTGTATACACACGAAAGCTCATACCTAGAAAGCTTGTATACTTAGCTGGTCTTTAAGGTGCTACTGGAACATCTTTCAATATTTTTTAAAAAAATCTTTCATCATTGTTATTTATTATGACAGACCAACACAGCAACATTACCTGAATCTGTATGACCTTGGGTTAGTCTTCTCTGAACCTCTCTTACATTCAACCTTGTGATTGTAAGCTGTAAGGAAGCACAATTTTTGACACTAAACAACCCATTCACTGAATACACATCTATTAAGGCATCAAGTTACTCAGTCCCTGGTGTAATTTTTTGTGCACTAAAAGCACAAACTTTCTTTCACAAATATATGTATATTACCTATAATGTACAAAATATCATTTTCTTTTGTAGCTTAGACCACTGTCAGTCATGTCCCACATTTATGATGTTTCTCTGCATGTGTATATTAGAGCACTAGTTTTGCAAAAATTAGCACAAACATAATGGATGAACTGACCCTAAAAATGGTAAGTAAAAATGTGCCTCCGAAATAATTTTCCAGACAGAGAGATTGGGAAGCTATACATGAGTGTAACTTCATCACCACCTAGAGGACAGTGTAAGACTAAAACTAAGTTTTTACATTTACTTTCTTGCAAGTACGGTAATAGCCATAGCCTGTTACAGTAATATTATGCTTTTATAGTAATAGTCTATTATAGTATACTATTCTTTCACATAGAAACCAGAAATCCAATTGGCTTGTGAAAACAGCATTCTTCCCTGCCAAGATCCAGGTTTGAGTTGTCTCAATGTTGTTCTCGCCACATCCATGGGAACATTTACCATTTGTTTAGGCCCAAGTCTGTAGCAAAATAAAATAGTAACAGTCTAGACTGCTGACATTGCTCATCTGCCAGGCCAAACCTGCTTCTTTGCTTCTTATCCCTCTGCAAACAAACACATTTGCACAAAAACATACACAAACATACACACATAATGGTTCTCTCCTGGTTGCTAGGCAGTCACTGAATTATTTCTTAGAGCTTCTCTGTTGTTCTCGAAAAGTAACTAAACTTCAAGGCTGAATATCTTTTTGCCAAAGTTAAATTCCTAACTTACAAACACAACTTTGACTCATAACAAAAGAGTAGTATAACATTTGAGACATCTGATAACATTTGACAATTTTATGTACAGGCAAATACATAAAAGCATTTGTGGTGATCACACAGGGTCCCAGGACGTTTAACGGTCTATTGATCCCTGTGCCACCACTGTGCTCGCTTCCCCGTTGCCACCAACCCGTTACTCTCGGGTAAAACACTGAGTCCAGACAGTTGTTAAAAGTGAACCAAATAAACAAGTTTATTTTATAAACATTAACAAGTTTATGGTTTCTCAGATAATATTCCTGTCAGTATCTTAACTTTAGTTTCTTTCCTAGCCTATACCTTCCTAATACCTTCTGACTGATTATCTCAACTGTTTAACTCCTCTTAACAAATTCTCTCACTTTCTCACACCAGACTAGCCCAACCCAGACTTATCTTCTGTCTCTTCTAACTCCAGACTGTCTTCTCAACAACCCTAACTCTAACACCTCCCCTTGAGGAGGTTAGTCATTTTACACTGGTTAGTCATTTTACAATTAGTTAACCCTTTCCTTATGAACCCAGTATGATGTCACACACCTAGGAGGGAAAACGCCACAGCATTATATATGAATAAATGTCTCTAATGAACATTAATTTTCTAGGTTGCCAAATGCATAAGTTGGCTTGAGTATTTACTAGGTTTGCCTATTTATTAAAACCATGTTTCAATATACAAAGAGGCTTCTTCTTCTTTGGCAATCACTCATAGCCAAGCAAGATTGTCTTGCATAAACATGGTTTTAACAATGAGTCCGTAAGTGACTGTGGAGGCCAATTCTGGATCCACACGTCCTTCCACAGTGGGGACATTGGTTTTCGCACAGGAGTTAATCATGGTGTGGATTTGCCAAGCCAGCCTTCCTCTTAGCACGTTTCTCCCTTAGTCCTGAGTTAGCATTTTAATCCTTACATGGCAACCCTATACTGTTATGTCTCCTAGATACTGTGGACAGGAAAAGTGGGATAAATTTCCCTCCAGATTTACTTTTAAACTTTTTTATTGTGGTTTTCAAAGCGTCCCACCTTTCTGTGTTTTTTGTTTTTTTAGTAAGGGTAAGGGTACTCCCAGGCAACACGTTTGCTGTATTTTCCCCGGAAAAGGGTAAAAAAATATCTCATTTGGGGGGTGAGTATGGGCTGGCATTTTCATGCCAACAACGCCATGTGAGCAGTACCCCGATACCGAACAACCCACCAAAACAACCATATTAGCAGCAAACAGAACGAGACGCAACTTCGCACGTTTGGCTTGCCTTGCCACGTCGTTTGCGCATGCGCGCAGGCCCGTGGACGCGCTTGTTTCCTTGGCAGCCGTCAGCTTGTATGAGGCGAAACCATTTGGGGCAAAAGGGGGTGACGGAAGAGGCAAGGAACGGAATGAAAGGGAAGGCCAATTGGCCGGCAGGGTGAAGAAGCCGTCGGCGGCATCGGACGTAGCCAGCAGAGTCGGAGGCGGCGTAGGCAGCTGCCGTTGAATACAGCGCGGAGCAATCGAGGGTTGGAAGTGAGTTTCTAACCCCCTCCCCCTTTTTACTGGGTTCCCACCAGGACCCGCTACGTGTATGGTTGGGAGGGGGGAGATGGCGGCGCAAAGCCACCCTCCCCCCACCCGAAAAAAAGAAACGTAGGCGGCCTCTGTGCGGGGGCTTCGTCCCTCCTGAGGGCGGCCAAAGCGCGGCCGACATTCTAAGCGGGAGGGGACTCCTGAGGGCGGTTATTTCCAATCCAGAACTGTGGCGAATAGGCGAGGGGCGGAGGGAGGCGCTTATGCCCAAGAGGCTTCACAGTCGGCGGCGCTTTGTCGGGCGCTGAGCGGGAGGCCTTCATAGCACGCAGCTTTCACGCATCATCCTCAGCCGCCGGCGGGCAACCTCCACGGAGGCCGGTTGGGCTCCCAACGGCTTTAGCGCGCTGCCTGCCGCCTCACAGCGCCAGCGGTTCCTCCCACAAAGCTACCGGCGGTCTCTGCGTTCTTTTCCGTTAGAGGAACGGCAGCCAGCGCCCAGGCTGTTCCTAACGGAGAAACCTGAGGGGGAGTGAGGGGGGAGAGCAGAGTAAGCAAGGAATTCAAGCAGACTACGAGTCCCAGCAGCCCCGGCCAGCACTACATCTCCCGTGGTTCACCTATGACAGAATGAGGTCTTGTTAGGAGACGGAGCGTGTACTTTGAAGAAGAGGAGGGAGGTGGGCGTGCCTCTTCCGAAAGCAGCACCGATTGGCTGAGGCGGAGTGCGAGGGCGGGACTACAGTAGCTTCGCTTTGGCTCGAGAAAGAAGGGAGCTCAAAATGTGAATCAAACCCGGTGATTTCGGTTGTGGCCGTTATTAAGGGCTGCGCTCTTAAATATGGAGTGGGCTAGAGAAACTTAAGAATCGAAAAGCGACGATGCCCCATGAAGCTCCTTTTTTCTTTGGTGTTTGAATCCGTAGTGCTTCCCACTTTAGGATCACCTTTTCTCGTGGGTGGTCCCCAGGCTGCGCATATTTACTCGGAAGTACTGTAAGTCCCTTTGGGATCCAGTAGGGCTTGATCCAGTAGGGACACGGGTGGCGCTGTGGGTAAAAGCCTCAGCGCCTAGGACTTGCCGATCGAAAGATCGGCGGTTCGAATCCCCGCGGCGGGGTGCGCTCCCGTCGCTCGGTCCCAGCGCCTGCCAACCTAGCAGTTCGAAAGCACCCCCGGGTGCAAGTAGATAAATAGGGACCGCTTACTGGCGGGAAGGTAAACGGCGTTCCGTGTGCTGCGCTGGCTCGCCAGATGCAGCTTGTCACGCTGGCCACGTGACCCGGAAGTGTCTGCGGACAGCGCTGGCTCCCGGCCTATAGAGTGAGATGAGCGCACAACCCTAGAGTCTGGCAAGACTGGCCCGTACGGGCAGGGGTACCTTTACCTTTACCTTACTGTAAGTCCCTTTGGGATCCAGTAGGGCTTGATCCTACGCAAGAAAGAGCTTTAACAGATGCCTAGGAATGTCAGTTCTCCTCCTTAATAGCAATCCTATGCGGAAGGGTAACTTCCATCGAAGAGTGTGGGAAATAATGAGTGTCATTACCTCTCTCTCTATGGCTGTGAACTGACTTCTTCATGTCCATAGTCAACTGGCAATCCCAAACCGCACCAGTGACAATAATGATTCCACGATGTGCTATGTAGTTGACTGTTGGGGTTGGATGTAGCAAGGATGTAGCTTTAAATCCTTACTTAGTTCTGAAACTCATTTGATGGGGGGAGCTGTGGCCTTTGAAATTAGCCAGTTCTAATCTGCTTCATGTCTAGTTAGACTAAAGGGAATAGTGAGATAATTGAGATTAATTACAAATAAGGATACAATATATTTCAAGTATATTTAAGTATAATTACTTAGGAATCACGTGAAATATGATGCTTCTCTGTGTCTTGTTAAAGATGCAAATGACAGTGCATGGAATCAGACAAGAAGAACTATAACATATTTCAATGTTATCTAGATGTCAGAAAATATATCAAGATGAAAATCTATAAAAGATGGGCGTATGTGCATCCATTCCTTCTTTACTATACTGTATACATTATGTGGAATGACAAATTATTCTAAAGGCAGCTTTTCCACTATTAGGGGAAATATGTATGTCATTTTTATTTGTGTTTTTATAATACAATCTGGATTAGGCAAATTCCTGCACCGGAAACCTCACTTTCTTCTGCCTATTTGAGTTGAATGATGAAATCATTTCTATTTAGAGATGGGATTACAATTAGTGAACATCCTTATCTTATTCAGGTTGCTTAAAGGACTATATTTACACTCTTTCCCTCTCCATTGACGTTTGTCTTGTTTGTTGCTTAATCCAACTGCATTGCTAATACATATAAAGCACACTGTGTAATCCTATCCTTTATTCAGAAATAAGTCCGGTTCAGTTCAGAGGTAAGTGCAATATAGTATTCCATCCTTAATTGCTTTCGTTGACATTAATTTAAAATGTAGGAAAGAGTAATGCATACTGTAGGTAACCATATAATTGTTAAAATGCCTTAAGGCAAAAGACAACAATAACAGTCTGCACATGGTATTCAGGAAGATGATGGCTTAACGCTGCATGATATCTTTGTGATGGAAAGGACTAATTGTATTAACCATGATACCTTTTTAAGTAAAAAAAAGTCATGTGTAAATCTAAAATAAAATTTTTAACACCTAGAAGTATTTGAACAGAAATATTTAATTAGAGGAAAAATTTAAAAAGTATTCTGAATGTGGATTATATTACTGGTATATTATATTATATTTATATTATATTGAAAAACAATCAAAACTTTATTTAGAAATTATTTTCATTGGAATACTTATTTATATTTTATACTTTTTTTACTGTTAAGACAGTATAACTCACAAGCATACATTTTCATTATATTGTTTTAATTTGAAGAACAAAGTGAAGATATTGCAAACTGTTAAGAACATGATTTTATCATGCCCAAAGATGCCTGAAAAAAAGTTAAGATCAACTTTGAAGCTAATTGAGCTTCCATTCTTTGTATACACATTCTTTATGTCACTGATTTGTTAAATAAAAAATTGTTAAATAAAAATGTTTTGTTTCAAATGGAAAATTTTCCATAACAATTTTTCCTTGCACATCATTGGTTTTGAATACAAACAATGTAGATATGCAATGTTTAGATCACTGCTTATATATTGTGTTGATCCTGATGACATATATACTAATTAGTTTTTGTTAGGAAACGTTGGCAGTTTTACATCAAGATGCAAGACTTAAGTTCTAAATCTTGATATCCAAGGGCAGCTTTATATGGATTCCCCTCCTTCCTTTATGGCAGGGGGTGGAACCTTATACTGAGGGCCACATTCCTCTGAAATAATCTTTTGGATGCCTTATATTGGCAGTGGGCCAAGGCAGAGTTGGCAGTGGTTGGGCTAAAAGTCTTCTAGAAAGGCTACAGTTTCAAACCTAAAAGTTTTCTAGAATAGCTGCAATTTCCAACCTGAAGCAGCCCCAGGTAAAACATCTTGTAATAGTCCAGTGGTGAGGTTAACAGAACATAGATAACTGTGGCCAGGCCATCTCTTTCTAGGAGAGTTATAGTTGGTATATCAGCCTCTGCCCATAGAAGGCTCTTTGTGCTACTAAGGCTTTCTGGCCCTTAAGAGGTCAAGGTGAATCTAGTAGCACTCCAAGAATGCACATCTAATCCTTTTAAGGAGTATACATTCCCTTTCATAGTTGCCGAACACCATCACACTTGTTAGACAAGTTTATGGACCCTGTTCTGGTCCACTGCTGTTCCCAAACACTGGTTCACACTTTTTCTGACTAGACCTGGGTGTCATCATCAGATCAATGACACCCAACTCCATATATGCAGGTGACCTCTGAACAACTTGCCAAAGAAAAGGATCTTTGCAACTGGCTGTTTGGGTCCAGTGAGGATCCTTTGAATCTGTGGCAAGAGAACAGGATATTTCCTTACTTATTTTATTAACAAAATCCAACTTCAATGGTTTTCCTAAATCTGTTCCGCTCCCACCATTTAATATAACTTGTACCCTTTTCACCCTTAACTTGCCAATAACCTGCTAACTGTGATATAAAGCCAGACAGATATATGTACTATATTTAGGAAATATATTGTTTATTATAAGATTATGTAGCGTACAAGCTTATGTGGTTACTTTAACATAGTACTGTCTCTTTAAATTGACATACACTTTCCTTGTTAATTAACTGTAGCTTGTTATATACTCTGTTACTAAAGCAAGACAGCTTGGAGAACCTTCTTAAAACTTTGCCCAATTGCCTTTGTATTTACTCCACCACAGTTAAGCCTTACCAACACTATAAGTGAGGACTTTTGCTGAAGCCTACCAGATCTCTGAGGGATGCGGGTGGCACTATGGGTTAAACCACAGAGCCTAGGACTTGCCGAGCAGAAGGTCGGTGGTTTGAATCCCCACGACAGGGTGAGCTCCCATTGCTCGGTCTCTCCTGCTGCCAACCTGGCAGTTCGAAATCACATCAAAGTGCAAGTAGATAAATAGGTACTGCTCCGGCGGGAAGCTAAACGGCTTTTCTGTGCGCTGCTCTGGTTCGTCAGAAGCAGCTTAGTCATGCTGGCCATATGGCCCAGAAGCTGTACGCCGGCTCCCTCGGCCAATAAAGCAAGATGAGCGCCGTAACCCCAGAGTCGGCCATGAGTGGACCTAACGGTCAGGGGTCCCTTTACCTTTACCTTACCAGATCTCAGAGCCTGGCAGTGCAACTGCCTCTCACTACTTCTTGCTCCACGCTGTTCTCTCCTCATCTCTTATGCCTGACCCAAGTGATTCAGATACCCCAACAAGTCTTTTGGCACCAAGACACTTTGCCTTTCTTGTAGGTATTCTTTCTCAAGCCTCTTCCTCTGCTGTCTTTGGGCAGTGCACCACAAACGCCATGAACTCCTTCACTGACCAGCACAGACTGACTTCTAGCTGACTAGCACCCAGCCATATATACACTTCTTCTGGCCCTCCAGTCCAGCCCCAGCCAATCACATGGTCTAACGGAAAATTCTAACCCTGCAGCCACCAACCAGAACACTGCTTCTTTTGCATATTGAGAATTCTCTCTCTAACCGCTCCTGAGCTGTCAGTTGAAGTCCCCCAGTGACAGTTGAACCAACTTCCACCTGACCAGACAGGCCTCCCCGCATTAAACATTACAATGCACATTACCATACAAATGACAGAATCCAATCCACATTAAAACTGAATTCAAATAAGCAAGATTTCTTCACAGAGTTGAAGGAAGCATTCTTCAGGAATGATCCTAACAGCTGTTTCATTTAAGGTGGCCGAGACTACCCCTCCGTGCCAAAGAGGCGTTTAAAACTTTGGACCCAGCTTGTCGGTCCTCCCTGCTGGATTCAATGAGCCGGGAAGGGCAACGGTCAACCTTGCAAGTGGTGGGCCATTTTATTAAGCTGGGTTTTAATGAAGCCTGTGTTAGTTTGTGGCACTGCACTGGCCTGTCTCCACAGAATTAAATGCAGCTTCCATGCGGCAGGTGTAGTGTCACAGGCTGGCCTGTGCCAGTCAGCAGTCCCTCGTTAATGTTGCTAGTGCACTAGAGTCATTCTTTCACAACTTTTTACACAAAAAGCTATTCATGTGGAGTGGTTCACTGCTCTAAGGCATAGCTGTTTGAAGTGGATGAGCTCAGGAGACATCTGAGTTGGGTTTTCACACCTATGCAGACTCCCCACACCCAAATAGCACACAGGAACAATCATTTTCACTGTTGTGAAAGTAACAACTGTAATCACATGATAGACTGCTTCACCTGAACAACCTACCACTGATAACAGCTACCATGAGGACTTGCACAAAGCAGCTTCTGTGCAGTGGCCATGACATGTATACTGACTACAAACACTACATAGCACATAAATGCGCAGCGAGGGTAGCCAGGAGGAGTGAAGCAAGCAGAAGTGTAAACAACTACCCATGGTTCTGAAGCCCTTTTTGGCCAATGCATTAACCAAATTACATGATAAATGGTGCTAAGTCATAATTATTTGGTTGCACATGCTAGGCAGGATTTTAGGATGGGCATAGTATAGGATTACATCACAGCAAGCACTTCTGTAGAGCAAATGGTTAAGCTACAGCAAGGGAGCATTCCTGGTGGCTAAGCTACAGGTGTAGTGTTTTCTTTCTGTTGAGAGCTCTCCCACCCTACATGTGAGCATGTAGAATTTGTATGCAGGCTGGGTTTTTTGGTGCTTGAAGATCAGCTGGTTATAGTGGGGTGCCATGTTCAACATTTGTCAGATGCAGTGAACTCATTTATATAAACTATAAATTATTGCACCAAATCTTCAGCAGGTGGGGCTAGAACCTTTGGAAAACCAAACATGAAATCGAATTCAGAGAATTCATGTCTAGCTTTCCTCTCCTTGTCTTCTTGTACTTATTGTGCCAGTTAATCTGAGGCAAAGTGTGCATAACCCCAGGCACAATGACCTAGAAATGTATTTGAAGCAAATAAGAATTTTGGGCAATCACCGAAGGCACTGAAACTAGCATAGGCGCTCTACCTGCCACTACAATCTTAAACATTTGCAGTAGTGTTTATATGGCATCACTGAAGTTTTGTAACACTATTCATTATATTATTCTGCACTTTAATTCAGACTTAGTGTGGTGCACTGCACTGATGTATCTGTTAGTGCATCAAAATGTTGCTGGCTGATTAGTTAAGACATTATTTTAGAAGTCATTAAGGGGGACTGGTTGATTAGGTTTAACCAGTTGCTGCTGCATTAGGTCTGAGAATTTTGCTTACTGGTTTTTTCTTTTTTTCTTTTTAAATGATATTTATTGGGAATTTTTTTTTTTTAATTACACACAAAAAAAAGACAAGTAAAAAATAAAACCATCATTCTCAAATTCTCCCCTTTCAATACCTTCTTTCTTTGACCTCCTCCTCCTCCCTTTTCTTGTATCCTGATTAATAATAATCGCAGCAAATCCTTTCCATAATTCATAGTATTCTGTCATTACATTACCTTAATCTATTTTCATCTTATCTTATAGAAAACCTTAAAGTTTAAAACTTAAATCTTATTTTTACCAACTTCTCCTAACCATAACATTCTTACCAAATTCTTTAGACATTTTTACAAGAGCCAAGTAATTTCATTTCAACATTTTTCTAGCATTCATCAATTTTATAGAACAATCCTAATGATAATAAAAAAAAAAGAAATAAACAATCCAATCTTCATCCAGCGTCCCTTCCTCCTGGTCCCGGGTTTTGTCAGTCCTTTTATCCTATTAATCTAGCACATTAACCTGGTAATCTTATATCCGAGGCCCTCAAGTCTCTTCCATGTCCCTTCCGCAGCTCTTCTTCATATTTTCCTTTCATTCGTGGGAACTCCAGCTTGGTAATATTTTTGACCCTTTTCAACAAATCAGCCCCTTTTCCATAGTCCAGACTAGACTCCATGTGGTATTTAAAAACATGTTTCAGATTCCCTCCAAAATTGAGAGCCCCCACAGCTCCAAACATCTGACGGCCCATTGCCAGACTCGAAAAGTCCAAATCTCCCTGTATAGGGGGGTCTGTCCAACCCCCCATTTCCAAACCAAACCAAACTTTATCTTTCCAAGTCTGGTTTTTCCAAGTTCATTTGTCAAATCCAAAAATTTATGTTCCTGCTGGGCCGCAGCTCCCTCCGTCTCTGGCGCCCAAGATTCAGCAGCATCCTCTTCTCTCAGCTGTTCTGTCATGGCACACTCCTGTTTTAGCTCCTGGGTGGGCTCCATATAATTTCCCACTACCTGTTCAAAGGTTCTGGCCGCATTAGTCATCAAATCCGTCTTCTGGCTTAACTGATCCAATAGGGCATTTATTTTGCAGAGAGCACCCAACAGTGCTTCTGAAGACATTGTCCTGCAAGGTCACAAATCCTTTCCCACGGTTGTAATCTGTGGCAGCTGCAAGCTCCCAGGAATTAGTTACAATTTCACAGTCCCCTCTAGGGGGAAATCTTCTGATTGTTCTTTCTTTTAAAAACAATAGCAACAAAGTTTCTTTTTTAAGGTATTTTGTCCATATTTGTTCTTTTTAAAATGCGAAAGGAAACAATGGAATCACTATGTTTCTCTTCTTTTAACTATCTGTCAAAGACATTTGTTTCTGGTCAATGAGCTTCAAACGTCAATTCTGACACCCCGCTCCAGGATCAGGACGGTGGAAAATTACTTTGCTTTAAACTCACTTCTGCAGGTTTAAACAGCCCAAAAAAGATCCCCCTTCTTCTCCTGCTACCGAAGGGGGGTTCAGCGATTTTAAATGATGAAAACCAATCCTTTGAAAGTGATTTTTAAAGCTCTAGTTTATGTTGTCTTTGCTTTATTCTGGCTACAAGGAAACGGAAGGCTGACTTCCTGTTTAGACCTTACCGTTTCAGTACCAAATTAAGGTAAATTTTTAAGTCCAAATTCCTTTCTATTTCGCCAGTTCTTATTTAAAGTCCAAATGTTCAATGTTCCAATACTCACGGGTGGTTATTTTAGATGCCAAATTGTCCCAGGAAAAGGCAGCGCTCTCCGGCAACGGCTATGCGGCTTTGCTCCGCAGAAAAAGCAATTGACTCACAGCACCGCGCCACTTCCCCTCTTCGCTCGGAGCCCGTTAGTGGGTTCTTTTGCGGGTTGGGGGGGCGCTAAGGGTGCCCGCCAAGTCCCATGGTCACAGGCTTCATCCGCCTGTGATTTCCAGAAGGGTCCCCGCTTCGCCGTAGCGGAAAAGACCCGTTTCATGCGGAGCTGGTCCCTCCAGTTCAGAGGGAGTCCGCTATTACCGATGGCGCCACCCCGGAAGTTCTTTTGATTTATATCTGTCTTACTGGCTTCCCTCCAGCCCTCTATATTTTTTCTTGATGGTGATTTCTGTGGGCCTTCTTATGGACCAATTCACAGAGAATAAACCTTAAAACACATTTTTGCTTCCATGGGTTCTGCTTTTAGATATTTAGTTTACATAGAATAAGTCTACAACTCTATACCCATTTCCTGAGAGTAAAGCACAATGAACTCTGCTTTGGACTATAGGACTGTCTTGTAAATCAAGCTTTAAACAGTAAGTTGTTTAATTAAAAGAAGAAAATTTTACACAATTTAGGATCCAGAGAGCTAACTTAGGTGAGCTAGGGCTATTGTCCATTGAGGGAGATTAGGATTTTCAACAAGATATTCCTGTCAACCCATGCTGTAAAACCAAACTTCTTCTATTTTATTTTTAAATTTTATCTCCCACTCTTCCTCCTGATGGAGCTTTTGCAGTTCTCATGTTTTAGAAGTCTTTGGCAAGTAGCATGCGGATCTGTAGTTGAAGAGACTCATATCCCTTTCAAACTTGAGTCTGTTGAAGAATTCATTAAACAGTTGATAAAATTAAGTACTTGCTTCATCCTTAATGTAAAGTGATAAAATATAATAAAAATATTGGATGGCTGATAGTTCAAACATTATGAACAAGGGGTGATGTTCAAGTATGAGTGTCCACTGATGGAAGAGAATTTGTTAGCTGAACAGGGAGGCAGGCAGTTTTCAGCCGTTCTCCTGTCTCCCCACCCTTCAGCACCCTGTGCTCCCCTTAAATCTCTTCCAGAAATGCCCTTTGGAGTAGATTTAGAAGGTGTAGTAAAATGATGTTGGGAGGGCTGGACTCTATTCAAGAGCCATGCTGACCTAGGAGATAAAAAGAAATTGAAGAAGAAAGCATTAGGCACGCCAGAGAACATAGTCACCATTGCATATTACCCAAAGTTAATAAGTCTGCAACACCTTTTCATGTTGTGTCTGATAGTTTGTGTTAGATTGTTCACTGATAGTTGTCTTTCTCAGTGTTACTGTCCTATAACATATTCTGGTTTTCTTTGCAGAATGAAGAAAAGTGAAATGTGTTGAGTTGCCTTTGAGGGTCATGAAAATGCCAGCAGGTATGTAGTATACGTGCTATAGTATTTTTACCTTTTGCGTTGTATGAACCATTTACTGTTAAATTTTATCTGTGTAAAGAAGGGTTCTTATTACTGATTAGTATTTACAGCATTGCAGACCTGGGTCCTGTTCCAGAGATGATAACTGTACGCCCAAAGACCCTGACAGCAAATAGTAGTGCATGTTGATATGCGTTCATGTCTGCATTGTGATGCAGTAGCTAGTTCTCAAGGAAAGAATCGGCAGTATTATCACCACAGTGTCTGCTTCTTTAACTCTTAGCAGAAATGGAATTGCAGATCCACCCTGCCAATCAGCACTTAGGCTTTTTACAATGAGGTTTGGCAGAGTGGAAACAGGGTATTTGTTCTTGTTTTCTATGGCTAGCAGGAGTCATGGCCTCATATTATCTGGGATCACCAACTTTTTTGGGCCTGTTTCCAACAGGAAACAATATTGTCAGCACCGCACACAGCGACCAAGCACACACTGCAAGCTTTTCTATTGATGACGATAGAATTATTTATTTATTAATAAATAAATGGATTGTGGATTGTGATGAAACCTCTGTGGTTCTAAGAAAGCCTTTTTCAGACCTAATTTCAGCAGGGGAAGGAAGAACATCTGCAGGGACCTTGGGTTCACCTTTAGCATGAATGGAAGATGATAACTGGGCTGTGACAGCCATTTTGAGCTAATAAGCTAATGAAAGTGATGAAACTGCCGTTTGACCTTTTCAGTGGAGAGTGAAGCCAAGGCAAAAACCAAGGTTCGTTTTGAAGAAATATTCAAGAGCCATGCTGACCTAGCAGATAAAAAGAAATTGAAGAAGAAAGCATTAGGCACGCCAGAGAACATTGTGGTGAGTTGGCTACTCTATGAAACTTTGTTTGCCCGTCTTGGCAAAAAGGTTTAAAAAGAGCAAAACTTAGTGTCTCATGCTCAATTCCTTAAGAAGTATGAAGAAAAGTGGACTGTTCTTTGCAGTTAATTTCTTTCGGAAAGCAGAGATTGTTGCAGCCTTGGGGTTACAAAGACCAGCACTTCAGTCTCATGATTTAGAAAAGGACGGCCTTCAGATTCATGACGGCTGTTTCTTTTACTATTACGCTGTTGGTAGTGGAAGTGGCTCACTATACTAATTTGTCCTTTTCCATACATGAAGGAGGTTCTGTGAATGTGAAAAGAAAAGCACTTTAATTATCATTTTAATATATGTTGTTTTACTGATGCTTATATTGAGGAAAAAAGGGTACTACTACTTTATGCAGGTATCTAAGTTCTGTGTGTCTCATCCACACTCTGTACATTTGGTTCAGGAAACAGCAGTGAGTTACTACACATACAATTATACTAATTTAATGGCTAAATTACAATTTGGAAATATCTCTTTAAATGGTATGTTAGGCAGAATTTTTAAAAGATCTTGGTTACAATCATTTCTTACATTTTTATCATGAGGACATTTTGTTAAATATTATTTCAGTTACACTAGATCTGTACACCCTCCTCCTCTCAGTAACATTTATTTTAACAATATATAACACCATACTAGTAGGTCAATTTTCCAAATACTCTAGAATACATTTGAGGGATTTTTTCTTAAAATAAGCTTTGAAGAATATATTAAAAGCTTGGTCAAATCTAGAATCTTTTCATGTTTCATATGAATTCCATCTGTTGGTTGCTACATAAAACAATTAAGACTCATCTAAAACTTCAGTGCATGCGATAAAACTAATAATGTACCAAAATATTAGTATTGTAATACATATGCTTATGATTATATAAGAGGTGGCTGACTTTTCAGTGTTTTTGTCTTGGTTGTAGCTTGAAACATTCAAAAATCATCTTGGCATTACCCAAGAAAGTGGAAATGAAGAGGTAATTATAAATGATACTCATAACCCAGAGGAAAGAAGTCCACGGATTACAAAAAGCAAGCTCAGACACAAAGCCTCAGTTGCAGAAAAAATAAATAATAATGTTGTTAGTGGAGAGGAAAGTGTGCAAACAACGTCTAATAAGAAGAAGAAAAAGACAGTGTTACACGAACAGCTTAATGAGGAAGAAAACCTACGTGAAACTAAGTTGGACAGTTTTGAAAAACAGATTCATGTTTTTTCAAAGAAAAAAACAAAAAGTGTGTTAGAGGCAGATGCATTTCATCAAAAGGGGGACGGCCACATAAAAAGTGCCTTGAATGGAATGAGAGGGAGATCTGAATTAGATGAGGAAGAACAGCTAATTCAAGCCTATGAGCAGCAAGTGGCTGAGGAAGAAGCAAATGCAATTAAGAAGAAAATAAAAAAGAAACTTAAAGAACAGATGTCTGAATTCACCCCCAATGTTCAAAGCCAGGAAATGGCACTGAATAATGAAGTGAGCAAAAAGAAGAAAAAGAAAAAAGAAGTATCTGTTGTATCTGAAGCTCAAACAAGGTATAGTGGCGAAAAGCAAATTGGTGTGGATTTAAATCTTTAACAACTGTTTGATTTTCATTGCTGTTGTTGAAATGGAAAGAGTTGTATGGCTCTTCCCCCCTCCTCAACCTGAACATACCATTTTACAGGAGAAAATGTCATGGTGTTAACTTATCTGAAAAAGCATGTACAGTATACCAGTTCTTCTCCCTCCTCGCAAAGTTACTTTCTGAGTTGCTGGGAAGCCATGAGCTGTTGCTCCTGTGGGAGGTGAAGGCGGGACTCAGGAAGGAGTGCAAGGTAGAGGAAGGTGGGCAAAATCGCATTTGGCTTCATTTCTATTTCCCAGCTCAGCTTCCAGGCACCAGACCAAACTTGGGCAGAATCTTTATTGGCTTCACTGCCTTTCTCTCTTAATGGCTTCCTCCTAGACACACACTATCTGTTTCCTATCTTTAGAGAGGAGAGAATAGAATCCTAAGAAACTGCCTTATACCAAGTCAGGCTGTTGATCCATGGATTTCAGTATTATCTCTGATGACTGGTAATGGCTCTCTTGGCTTTTTGACAAAAGTATCTCCCAACCAAACCTGGAGATGCTGGAGGCTGAACTTGGATCCTTCTGCATGCACAGAAGATGCTCTCCCTCTGAGCTAGGGCCCTCCCCTTTCCCCTTTGTGTTGCTTGGCAAAAGAAATATTATCATCTGGGTTGAGTGGGGCTGTGCCCCTGTTGTCTGTTGCCTTGGTGACTGGGTGAATGGTTCCCACCACATCATCTCTTCTCAGCTTGTTGACAGCCTCTATTCTGGAACTACTCTTTGCACGAACCCAGCTTGGTGGGAAGAGATGATTCATTTGTATCACTTTCCTTGCTCATCTCAAGATCTCACTTCAGGGGAGCAGCTAAGTCTAGGGATGGTAGCAATGCATTTGCAATACATTGACCCTGCCTTAAGTTTACATGGCCTCCTTTCCCTCCATCAAAGCCAGGGGAAGGGAACTGGATCCAGTTCCCTCCATCAAAGCCAGGGGAAGGGAACTGGATCCAGTCAGTGGGCCGTGCTACAAAGGAAAATCCAAGCTGATCCCAGCAAGTTTTAAGTTACTGCTGGTCAGCTGATGGGTCTGCTTTCTGCTGGTTGGCGGTGATGCCAGTGAGCCTGAAGTTGCTGCCCCACTCCCTTCCCCTTGAGCTCATAGGTGCGCCAACATCAAGCTGCCTTCTGCTGGAAGTATCAAATTCCCAATGGGGAAAGTGGAGCTTCAAGTCACTGTTTGAGTTCCCTGTGGCAATCACTGTGCCACAGCTAATCCCAGCAGAAAGGGATAGGTGCTGACTTTCTATGGTGTCAACTGTGCTATAGAGCTCACCATGGGGAAATCAGTAGTGCAGCCAATACCAGCTGGTTTGTTCTCACTACCAGTCATCTGATCATTGGTGAAAGCAAGCCTTCTTTGCCAATGAAAAATCAGGAGCACATTCTGCCTGCTTCACACTTGATCTGACATCTGGTGCGAGGCAGATGGCCATGACTTTGGTGAAATGGCTTTGTGGGACCCATGTCAGGCATAATTAAGGCTCATGAGCCGGTGGACCCCACCCCCCCGGCATGGCTGACCTCAACTAACCACTTTGGCTGATGGTTGGAGTGTTCCTTACTTGCATCCCTCTGGCAGACAGCAATCATTATTTTGGCAGGTTTGGGCAGGGCTGGGTGTATGTATACATTCCCTTGTTTAACAGCGAGACTTACTTCATTGCAGTGCAATGTCCCTCTCTGAACTACAGAATGACCCAGAGGAAGAAAATACCCGCAAAAAGAGATCATTGGGAAAACCGCTCATGTCAGAATCTAAAGAGGATGATGTGCTAACAAAGGAACAGGAACTGGAGGAGGATATTGATAAACAAAAATCTAAAGGAAAGAAACCGAAAAGAAAACCCAAAAAAGGTTTGTGTGGCTACAATTTGAACCTCCGCAAATGTGCACATGACTACAGAGCTCATTTATGTGGCTGCATTGTGTGCTGTTCTGGGACGTGGGTGGCGCTGTGGGTAAAACCTCAGCGCCTAGGGCTTGCCGATCGCATGGTCAGCGGTTCGAATCCCCGCGGCGGGGTGAGCTCCCGTCGTTCGGTCCCAGCTCCTGCCCACCTAGCAGTTCGAATGCACTCTTAAGTGCAAGTAGATAAATAGGTACCGCTTTATAGCGGGAAGGTAAACGGCGTTTCCATGTGCTGCGCTGGTGCCGGCTCGCCAGAGCAGCTTTGTCACGCTGGCCACGTGACCCGGAAGTGTCTCCGGACAGCGCTGGCCCCCGGCCTCTTAAGTGAGATGGGCGCACAACCCTAGAGTCGGACACGACTGGCCCGTACGGGCAGGGGTACCTTTACCTTTTTATTGTGTGCTGTTAGTGACCTAGACTGCACCATCCTTGTGGCAAAAAAGTTGTCTGAAGTTTGTCACATGTGACCCACTGTGATTTCGCACAAGTGAACTTTCCAAACCTAGGTTGAGTGGTAGCATGTAAAATACTAGTTTGTGCTCATGATGGCTGATTATCTGCTGATGATAAGCCTTGTGCAGTCCAATTAGAGTGAAAATTGTACTGTGAGCATAGAAGATGAATGAGTTGCCCTTACCTCACATTTATTTCAAATAAATATTGAAATAAGGACTCATTTATTTGTTCAAGAACAGTCCTGCTATGTATGAATAACAATTTTTGGAAGTGGTCTATTCGTTTGATCACTTGGAACACGTTGGAACATGTAATTGGAAAGTTTCAGCTGCATCTGCTGTGTGTGTGTGTGTGTGTGTGTGTGTGTGTGTGTGTTAAACTGCTGTTCATGTTAATAGATCACACATAAAGAGTAATGTTGCACATACTAATAGCCAGAATTTCTATTCACCTAACCAGTTTTTGTCCAATGACACATGCCTACATATAAGCAAACATGCTGTCGAATATACTAACTGGCTTTTCATAATGCATTGTAGAACTAGCGGGGCTTGGTAACTACAATAGGTGTTTTCAATTTAATTTTGATAATATTTAATTCTCACTTGAGACAATCTTCCTTCTGCTCCTAGTACTAGAAGAAAATACCCCGAATGCTGATGAAAATACATCACATGTGACTGATGGAAGTGTGTCACCGGAATCAAAACCTGTTTATGATGATAGCCTGGTTTTAGGGGTTTACATCCATAGAACAGATCGACTTAAAACTGATCTCATGGTATCGCATCCTATGGTTAAGGTTCATGTGATTGATCAGAAAACTGGTCTATACGCCAAGAAAGAAAATAGGTGATGTCATTCACTTTTAAAGTTTCCTTTCTCTTATCTTATCTCTCCAATTTTCCCACATCAAATGTGATTTACTGTAAAGACTTCTCAGTTGAGTATTGGTGTCCCTGGAATCTCTTTCCTGCTTAACTTGCATGTTCAGGATTTTAGTTTGTTTTCATAGATATGTGCGCTTATTCTCTTGAGTTGCAGTTGAGCCCTCTGGAAATATATGCAGTCAATTGCAGGAGAAATGAAAGACTACCAAAAAAAACTGAAATTCAGTTACTTTTCAAAGTTCATCCTCAAGAGACTTTTCTGCTTATGTAATGTTGCCCATCTATAGAGGGCAGGGCAGAGTGTTCATCAGATAATGCCAGAAGGTGGACTGAATGAGAGGCCAACATGGAATAAGGGTTGCATCAAACCCCAGAGTAGCTTCTAATACATGTAAAGGCCAGAAAGATGACAGGAAAGAAAACATTACTCAACTCCGTACTCAAATAAGATTTAAAGCTGCAGTCCTATGCAGGATTTCCTTGGCAGTCCCCTTAAACTAAGTGGAACTTAACTTTCAAATAAATATGCATAGGATTAAGCTATGCTTCTCATATGCGAAATCTCTTAAGTGTCATAGGGAGCACACTCCAAGCATAGCATGTCAAGTAAACATCAGGTTTTAACCAGCAAAAAGACTGGGTTAAAATGGTTAAGCACAAAGCACAAAAAGTACGTTTTTTTTGGTAAGAATATAGACATGAATTTACAACCGTTTGGATTATTTCCTTTAACTGTGCCTTTCATTAATGTTAGACTACATTTGCTTTGAGCCAAAGTTATTGAAGCTGTCCTTGCACTTCACAGGGCTGTGGATATTGTGCCTAGAATAGTCTGAGTTGGAATAAGTTTAAAGCCAGCTGACACGTGGCTGTTGAACATTTCACATACACACCCTGGTAGCATGAATGCTAGACTGTTACATTCCCCATACTTCCCTTTTAAGCAAAAGGCTAGCACAGTTAGACTGAACAGAGTTTATTGTTTTTATACAGCAGCCGATCTGTTTCATCTTTTTATGAACAAGAAAAAGTGGGACATATTCTTCCCATTATGACTCAGCCGTATGATTTTAAGCAGTTTAAGTCAACACTTCCAGAATGGGAGGAGCTAATCATTTTCAATGAACGCTTTAACTATTTCCTTCAAGATACTGAAGAAAGTCCAAGAATAATCCTGTTTTTTGAGGTACAGAATGAATTTCCATTTCATCATGTTACCTTTAATTTTGGCAAGTATCTTTTAATATTTTAATTCATAGATTATTTGAAAGGTAGGTGGCATAGGAATTATGGATTGTGCCCATTCACGTAAGGACTCCCACTCGCACAACAGAATTTCTCTTTCACCATGCATCCCAAAATCTCTCTTGGGGGTTCCTCCAATACTGTAGAGCCAATTTCTGTTGTTTCGGCCAGGGAGGAGGAGTGCAGGGTCATGACTCGGTACTAGAGCATCAGCTTTGCATGCAGCAGGTCCCAATTCAATCCCTGGTGTCTCCAGATATGGTTGGGAAAGACTCCCTGCCTCCAACTCTGAAGAGCTGCTGCCAGTCAGTGTAGACAATACTGAACTGCTAAGGCAGTTTCTGTGTTCCTAAGCAGAAGTCATTGCTCCTGTAGACAAGCCAGCTGACAATAGCAGGTGCAAGGTTCTCTCAAAATTTCTTCTTAGGCCTCCTAACAGCTTTGTAGGGGATGCCTGGGAGCTGGGGAAGGAGACAAAGTATGCAACAAAGAAGCTGCCAAATGCATTATTTGAGATTTTTCATTGATCCTTAATAAATATCCTAAATCATTTTGTTTTTGTTCTTGTTTTTATTATGTATTTTGTGCTTTTTTAGCTTGTATTTTTATGCTGTGAACTACTTTGCTATCTACAGATGAAGGGGGGTATTTAAATCTAACAAATGCAAAATAATAATAATAATAATCTTCCTGAACATGCCAGCTCTACATGTTTTCCTGCTAAGAAAACCCGTATCCACCATATTTGAGGGGTTTCTACTTGTTTATTCTAAGTGAGCTCCCACGTTTTGAGAGCTGAGATGTGCCAAATGCAGGAGAACTCTGGAATTCTCCCATTGTGCGCATACACACACACAAAAGCAGAGCTCACTGTGTGGGAGTGGCATGGAGGTTCTTTCATAGGCCCCACTCTGTCCCTGCAAATAGCATTCAGAGCCAAAAGAAAATAACTCAGACTAAAAATATTCCTTATCATAATTGTTGATTGACTTTAACTAAATAAAACTTTTTTCCCAATTTGGTCAGATACTTGATTTTCTGAGCATGAATGATGTAAGGACCAACTTTGATGTACAAGCTAAGGAAAGTGGCTTTCGGAAAATCTCTTGGGCATTTCTAAAGGTATTTTATTTATTTTTTAAAATGGGAACTTTCCCCCTAAAGTATCTAAATAAAATCTAAGCAGAAGTGAACATAACCTTCTATGTTCAGTGGTGAAACTATATTTCAATCTTGGTTGTTGTAATAGATGAACTGCAAGCACATTTGCCCAATAAATGTACAAAATTTAGATGAGGTACCAAAAAAAATCCCATGAAGGTGTTTTGTATGAAGGTGGAGTTTAGTGCTATAGCGTTTCATAAAGCCCCATGTTTCCCCTGTGTGTATTGTGGTATCCTTTCAGAACTGAATTTAAGAATCTCTGTGTGCATCTCTGCTGCATCTTATGGTAGAGATGGTCATAGCATAGGCTGACTGAAAACAAAGAATCCAGTTACCAAGGTTCACCAGCAAGTGCACAAAGGCCTGTACCCCTGTGCCAAAGATGAGCCCTAATTCTGTTCTGAGTGGCTTCTCAATGTCAATTCATCCATACAGATGAAGTTATAATCAGATGATCTGCTGATACCTAACTGTGTGTACTACATCCTCCCATAGGAAACCTGTGCCCACTATCTGCGGTTGCCAAACTATAATGTTGTGGTTTTAAATTGTTACATCACAAACAGGGTTTCGTCTTTCTTTATTTAAAATTTGTTTATTCTGTATTTACAGCCTGCATCATAACCAATCCCGGGGCAGTTTATATATTTACAAATAAAACAATAATGCTAATTGTTTATCAATTAAAAGAACCCACAAGAACAGATAAAATACTAAAATAAAACAATAATTGTCAAAATGCAAAGCACTTCCCTCCTTCCATATAAGGTTGGCTAGATTAATATTTCACAAAATCCCAAGTAAATAAGTTGGTGTCACCTCTGCTTCAGAGGGAAGATCATTCCATGAACAGGAATGAGAAGGCCCTTTATCTTGCAGCAACAGAACATCAAAAATGGACTTCTCCACAGTTCTACTAGCATTTAGTTTGTAAAAACTACATCATTGTAACCCACAACTAGTAATCACACATTTTTTCACTTCGAGAATTTTGTCTTTTCAGCTTGTGGGTGCGAATGGAGTTCTGAATGTTGGTGGAAAACTACGTCTCCAACTATATTGCCCTCCTCCAAGGTCCAGATCGCAACTAAATATTGTGGAAGTTTATGATTGGTGGGCAAAATGTCCCAGAAACCATTACCCCTCAACACTGTATGTAACTATAAAGGGCATTAAACTTCCAGAACATGTAAGTTTAAGTTGCTACCAACTAAACTTCAGCAGAGATATATCTGTGGACGTGAATCTGAGAAAAGTTGTTTTTTTGTTGGCTTTTTATAACAAGCTGTAGAACGGAAACAATTGGCATGTTCCCTTAAATACTTGAACATTTCACATCTGGTTGTTCCTGTCCAGTCATCGCTGGAACTTTGGCTACTTTTCTGCCAGCCAGGTGCTGAATTTTGTATTTAAAGGGAAGGGAGAGAGATCCATGAAGCATTTTCAGCCGCTTCTTTCATTCAGTCTGGTGAAAATCTGCTGAAGTGAATAGACTTGCAATAATAGAGATCTATGAAGGAACCTAAAATATATCTGTGTTACAATTATTTTATTTTTAGATGTACAATTTTTAAGATTTAAGATTTCAGAAATATTGGTCAGACTTCGTTCATTTTCATGTTAAATTATGATCCATTCTGCAGTTCTTTTGGATTGATATGTAGCATTAGTCATATTTAGAGTAGACCCACTGAAAGCAATTGACTTAAGTAACAGAAGTCCCTTTCAATGGGTCTGCGTAATTGGGGTATGGCTTTTCTTGGCTATCACCCTAATAGTTTACATCTGCCAAAATAAATTTGTCCTATTACACTTTTAATCTATTTGTAGGTAGATCCTTCTTTACGGTCTATGATGGCTGTTCAGCAGGAATATCATTCTCCATCATTCTTGGACCTACAAAGTGAAGTATCTAAAAAAGCAAATAGTTCTGGACCACATGTGAAAAAAGAAGAACTACATAAGTGGTCACGATTTCCTGGACAGGCAAGAGTTTTCATACCTTTGTACATAAAGATTGTGTTTCTAGGGTGCAATCTATAATTGTATAGCAGCACTTTCTTGTTTTCGGGTGTAAGCACAAAACAAATGGTTTAATTCCCCCGCCCTGTGCCCCGGGTATGTGAAAAGTCCCAACCACTAATAATTTCCATGTCAACTGTGAAGGTTTTGCAGTGTTGCAGTAGAGGCGTGCGTTAGAATTTAGCAGTGAAGTTTAGACAGTCAAATTAAGAAAACAGCATAGTAAAAAGCATGAAAATTAGTGTGTTAACACTATTACCAGTGTTCCCCAGATTTCTTTGGACCTGTTCAGGCAGTACTTTTGTCCACAGGATTCTTCTTCTCTTAATTGTTTATTTTTAATTGATTGGGTATATATCTTTAAAAAGCAAAACAACCAAGCTAACAATTACATACCAGAATTCTACTTAGCTGGTTGAATGGGAGAAAAAGCTTGTTCCTCAAGCGCATGCATTTTTCCCCCTGCTTCCCTCACTGCAGAGAGAAAGTGCTTTCAGAATTTGCCATGCTGATTGCAAGATCTATCTTACATAGTCATGGAGATCCTACATTTAAGCATAGGTTCTCTTATGGTAAAACTGTCTGTTACCTTATTCATGCTTTTAAAAGAAGCATACTTAAATTGACCCCTTTTATTTTGATGGAAAAGCAGTCCTGGGGCTCTAATATAGAATGTTCTCTAAACCAGAACAGGGGTCTTGCAGCAGTTTCTCATTGATTGCTGCTCAACTCCATCTCTATCCCACCAGGATTAAGCAAGTAACTGGCTCAGGGCCCAGATCAGCACCCCATTCTCCTATGCCAGTGAACACACATCTGCCACCGTTCCATTTTTTCTATGTTAACAGCACCGGTTTTTTTATCAAAAGTTTGCTGTAACAGTCTATCACTGATACCTTCCCGGAAATAGTTACAATTAGTTGATGATGAAAATACAACTGTGGAAATAACGGCTTGCTTTGGAAATGCAGGTTTGCCGTATACCAAATAAGCATCTGTTTTCCCTACGAGCGGGAGATATGGGATGTTTCTGTATTCGCTTTTCCGAAGACGGACGAACCTTAGCAGCAGGTTGTGCAGGAAGAGATGCTTATCCTATTATTTGTAAGTCGCAGCCTTACGGCGTGTTTCACTTTTAATACAGAGCCTCAAAATAATAAGTGTTTTTGTCTCCTAGTTTCATGTTTTTGAAAAGATTGCCCCAAGACACAAGTGTTACTTTTGCTGCATCCTCTCGCAGGCAGAAGAAATTGGTTTGTGGGACAGCGGAGGGAGGCGGTTTTCAGTTTAAGACTGGCAGAGGGGGCTTTCTTGGTAATTCCACAGTCCTGAGGTAGCCTAGGAGAGGGCATTCTTTGTGACAGCCCCTAACTTATGGAATTCCTTCCCCATATTGATGTGTTTGGCACCTTCATTATGTAGCTGTGTCAGATGCTGAAGACACACCTCTTTACCCTGGCCTTTGACACATGAGAGATATATTTTACGATCCATGCTGTTCTTGTGGCTGAAATTTATTTAAAACTGTATTTAATTTTTTTAAAAAAATCTTTAATATTGTATTGTTTAAATGTTGTGTTTTAAAATGACTAAATAAATAAACATTTTATAAATAAATAAAAATAAATAATAAATAACCTGCCCTGGACCTTATGGTGAAGGGTGGAGAAAGAAATAAAATTAATGATAATGATAATAAAAAATGCAACAACAACAACAATAACAACTGATGTAACAAGCAGTTAAGTTTGAACCACTTGTCAAACCTCCTTGGGCTCCATGATTGAAGAAATGATAGTTATGATTATATCTAGCCCATACTGCCAAAGGAGTTCTGGGCAACAAACAAAAGACAGGATATAAATATGGAGGGGGGGGGAGAGAGAAACATAAATATATTAGGTACTCTGAGATGGTTCCAGAAGGGTTTTGGGAAGAAGTAAGTGTTGAGGTATTTGAAGGATGAACGTGAGGGAGCACGGCTCGGAAAAAGCAGCAAACTGCTACAAGCAAAAGAAGTGACATAGAAGAAAGTTTGCAGATAAAAATATGTGTAGAAAATGAATGTGGCTTGCAGCAAATGATAGTGTAGCTAGTAATGACTTTTGCAGTATTTGTGGTTTCTCACCAACCTTCCTTATCGATGAGCAGTTACGCAGCAGGAGAAAAGGACACTGAAATAGTATTCTTCTTCTTGAATTGGAGTGCTTTATAATGCCATTTTGCAAAAACACTTTATTTAAAAGTTTACCACACATACATAATTCTCATTCAACCACTAGATGGAAATAGATACTTGCATGCTTGTTTTAAATTTAGACTCTTAACATACATCTGGCAGCCACTTCTGAAAATCTGAAAATCAAATGCTGGTGGAGGCCGGATATAACTATCATGTCCAGTAGCTGCCGGTAGCTTATTCTCTCTGCATTCATTTAATTTCCTTTTAAAGCCATCTAATCTGGTGACTATTACAACATCCTAGGACAGTGTGCTTGTGTTTGTGTGAAGTACTTTTTGAAACCAAATAGTTTCTGTTTGGATGCTTCCTTGATGTTCATGATTTCTTAATTTTACCTATTCCTAACCCCTTAAAAAGCTTTTTGTGTTTTCATCAGTATATGAGATTCCTTCTGGGCAAAACCTGGTGGAATTTTATGGACACCTGAACATTGTATATGATCTTTGCTGGTCAAAAGATAACCAGCATCTCCTTACCGCATCCTCAGATGGTACGGCAAGGTTAGTATAAGTGAGTTCGTCTTATTTCAATGGTAACATAAAGTGAATTAACATATTATATGTCTGCCTCTTTCCCTTCTTTTTCACAGACAGGGTGTGGGAGAATTCCGTGACAGAACCACTACAGTTCCACTGCAAAGAGAGTGGAAGTTTTTTGGGGTTTTTTTTGCAACTGCTCCCTACCTTTAGGGCCTTAGTATGTGTAAGGGTGTTCTGGTTATTTAATAAATATCATCCTCATAGGATCACTTTTCTGCAAAGGCAATCTCTTGAGGAGAAAATAAAGCAAAACCCTCCACTCAACCATATTCTACAGACATCTTTTTGACTGTATCCTGTTCTCTTTACCCTCGCTTAATATAAATTATTACTTTTTATTGTTGCCCTTTCACTCTTGCACTAAAGAAGAGATGAGGATTTTATTTTTATTTAATGCAAACCTCCACTTACAGCAGTGACACTCTGCTAGGTTATACTGGATAAACTGGCACTTCAAAATGGCATTTGCATGGGGGGGAATATTTAAGGTGTTTAAAGTTAAAACAAAACAAACCACAAATTACTTCTTAAGATAGAGGACAGCACAAAAAGCAAATGAATGTTATTTTGATTCTTTGTAATAATTCAGTGAAGAAATTATATCCATTCTGGATATCTGGCTAGCATATGACTTGGTAATTAAATCACCTACTGCATTTTCTAAAAGGCATTAAGTTAAGAGTTTCCTAAATATTGTTTCCTTCTAGAATGTGGAAAATTGAAGCCCAGGCTACATCAGCCGTGAGAGTTTTCCCTCATCCTTCCTTTGTCTACACTGCTAAGTACCATCCAGTAGCTGAATATATCATAGTGACAGGATGTTACGACTCTGTGATTAGAGTATGGAATGCAAAAGTGAAGGACATTTATGGGCAGCTTCTACAAGAGTTTGATGGTCACAAAAGTTTTATCAATACATTGTGCTTTGATGCAGAAGGCAAGTTTTGAATCATTTCACTCTGATAATGCTGTATGCAACAATTTAGCTCATTCATCTTTATAATAACTCTTGCCAGGTGTGGCGTGACTGTTATCATTTTGTAGATGGAGGCTGAGAGGTTGTGACAGCCTTGTTGACAATAGAACGTGGCTAAGCAGAGAGGGGAAAGGGGTGTGGCTGATCAGAAGGGCCTGTGCCACCTGCAGAATCTTCTTCCCATTCATGCCCTTTTTTAAAAAAAGACAAGGTCCCTTTAATCAAAGCACAGCATGAGAAAAGCATATTATGTGCATTGTTTGATGCAAATGGGACCCAAATGCTCATTAAATAGAAATAAATAAATAAATGATTGTGAAAATTCATGTGATTAGACAGAATGTGAGATGACTAGGATGGGGAAAAAATTGATCACATTCAGGGTTGCATATCATATGTGGCATCTGGCCAGTGATCTCCCATGTCACATGTAATTTTAAATTGGCGTGGTTTAAAATTTTGAGCTTTCATTAACATTTTAAATGCTGTATATTTATTACAGTGAGCCACTTTGAGGCCTACGTGGTGAAAAGTGGGATATCGATATTTAAATTTTTTTAAAAACGTAATTGGGCCCTAAAACCACGAGACTAGCAGTTGTTCTACACTTTATGTGTCCATTGTGCGCGCCATGAAAGTTTCCCCAAACATACTGGTGTTTCCCCATGGCAAACTTGTAAACTTTGTACTTGAGTACTGCTTGCAGCTCTCCCACAGCTTTTCTCACACCTATGTAAGGTGAGAAAAACTGGGTGCTAAAGACTCAGCTCTGGAGACAACTGGGGACAGGGTGAAACAAGAGTCACAAAAGAAACAGGAAACAGGCATTCGGAGCAAAAGAAAGAGATGCAAAAGGGAAAAGAGATTTGACTAGAAAATATTTTCTGAATTGCGTTATCTGAATACTGTGTGACATTAAGTAAACAAATTACTATTTTCTAGGATTTCATATGTTTTCTGGAGACAGCACAGGGCTGATCATCATCTGGAATACTTTGGTAAAAGGCAATTCTCAATCGCCAATCCAAAACTGGGGAATTGATAAGGTATATAGATATTTTAAAGTAATAAAATAACTTCTGTGCAGGTTGAGGCATTTAAGACATGTAATTTTATGGAAAGATGCTGGAAACAAGTAGGTTTGTAGCAAGTAGGTTTGAGTTTTGTTCCTGTTAGCAGTAGGTAAGTGGTACATAGACAGGATTCACCAAACCAGTCCTGCCAGTGGGATTCCCTGCCCTTGCCCCCTCCTTGAACCCCCTTGAGAAAGGGACTGAAATTTTGAAAATAAAAGTGGTGCAGTCACTTAGAATAGAGCAACTTCCCTATGAGAAAATGTTACATCATTTGGAGCCTTTTAGCTTAGAAAGGCAATTAAGGAGGAATATGATAGAGGTGTGTAAGATTATGTACGGTGCAGAGAAAGTGGATGGAGTTTTTCTCCCTCTGGTATAATTCTAGAACCCAGGACCATCCACTGAAACTGCATTTTGAAAGATTCAGGACAGACAAAAGAGCGTACTTCTCCACTCAGCACATAGTTAAACTATGGAATTTGCTGGCACAGAATGCAGTTATGGTAATCAACGTGGATGACTTTAAAGGAGAATTAGACCAATTTATGGGGGATAGGACTATTAGTGGCTACTAGTCATGTTGGCTATGTTCCACCTCCACATTCAGAGGTATGCCTCTAAACACCAGTTGCTGGGAATCAAAAGTAGGGACAGTATGTTGAGCTCAGGTACCGCTTGTGTGCTTCCTATTGTCGTCTGGTTGGGTACTTTAAGAACATAATTCTGGACTATATGAGTCCTAGTCCAACAAGGCTCTTTTGTGTTGAGATTCTTCTCCATAAGAAGTAGTGTTGGCTGCCAATTTAAATGACTTTCGGGGGGGATTAGACAAACTCATGGATGATAAGGATGTTACCATAAAGCACCAATGCTGCAGCAAGCAAAGGCTTTAGCAGCTCAGCCAGCTGCTTGTGGCTGGAAAGCCAGGCAGGATGTTTGTGACTGTTGCCATGGGAACAAAGGGGCAGTCCATTCTGTACTGAGCACCGGATGTTAGCTCAGTGTGTGTGTGTCATATGACCCGTACTGGATGTACTTGGGAGGAGTTTTCTTCTTGCTGTTGTTGAGTGCAGACATGATTCTCTGTACTGATGTAAGAGGCAGAAATAAATGATGTAAATAGTTTTCTGTCTGCTTCTTTCCCCTCCCTGGGGACACCAAAGGGGAGAGAGGAAGAACGGTGTGTTCCTCTCATACATCTGAGAAGAATCGCCGGACCTCGCCTGCTTATCAGCAGAGTGGAGACGCGGGGAGGTCGACAGGAATATCTGCCGGTGCCTACGCTGTGGCACATTCCTCTGACCCAGGCAGAATTCCAACAGTGGCAGCCTTCGGATGGTTGCGATTCATCGGACATCTGCATGAGAGGCTGGTGGATTGTCCTCCACTGCTCCAAGGAGGAATAGAAGCGTCTGAAAGAAGCCAGAGGCTCCACAGACAGCTGATGGAAAGAAGAGGTGTTTTCCAGAGCAACAAAGTTCAAGGTATGCTGCATTTCGGGCTAAAAGTGTGAACGCAGGAAGATTAATTCCCTGGTTCACGGAGCTGCGTTTCAAAGAAAACAAGAGCTCCGAGAGGAAGAGGCCTGCAGCTTGAAGGCTGAAGCCTGCATTCCACAAATTTTTGTGGTAGATAAGGAGTCCCATTGAAATGCATTGTTGCTAGGCAACGGTCCTGGAAAGTTACTGGCAAGGGGCTGGACTCTGAGTGTAAGCCTGGGAAAGCGAAACAAAACCAGAGAATGTTTTGGCTACAAGGTTTACGAGCTCTTGGAAGGGACTTTTCAATAGCAGCCTGAGTTTAGCTGCCAGGTGCAAAGAGCGTAAACAACTTGCAGTTTGCCTGCGTGAGAAAGAAAAAAACTGCTGTTGGATTTTGCAGCTTGTTTGGAGGTGAGAGAGACTTGGCTTCAAGATGGATGCCAAGAAAGGGGGAGGTTTGCCTTGCCCACCTCCCTTAACCAATGACAATTATTCATCTTGGTCTGTAAAGATGAAGGCCCTGCTGCAGAATCAGAGGCTTTTTGATGTAATTGAAAACCCCATCCCTGCAGCACCAACCAGAGGTTGGGAGTCACAGAATGTAAGGGCCAGGACTGCTATAATTCTGTGTGTCTCAGATGATCAGTTGGTGCATGTTCAGCATTTAGAAAATGCGAAAGAGGTATGGGACACGCTGCGTACAACGCATCAGAGAGATGCTGGTTCTTCAGCGTTGCTGTATTTTGAGAAATTGACCAATCTGAGACTTGCGCCTGATGGAGATGTTCAAGCGCACCTGACAGAAATGAAGTTTCTGCGTCAACAGATGGTGGAACGCAATTTCCGTCTTCAGGAGGAAGTGTTTTGCTTCATGATGATAAACAGCCTTAGCCGCACCTACAAGGTTGTTGCCAGTCAGCTTGGTTCCCTACCGGCCGCGCAGCTGACCGCGGAGAGAGTTTGTGCTGTGGTCCTGAATGAACACGACAGACTTGCTGCACTGGAAGAAAAAGACAGGGGAGGGAAGAACAGAGTTCTAATTCCCCACTGCTGATGCTACTGGAGAGCATGGTGTAGCATTGAGTGCTGTCCGATGCTACAATTGTGGACAGACTGGGCATCTACAGCGAAACTGTAAGAAGCCGCGCCAGTCAAGAGGAGCAAAGAGCAGCTCTACGAAGCCTCAGGCGTCAGGCAAAAGCCGTTCCAAGTGCCAGGTGAAACCTGCAAAGGCTATGATGGCGAAAGGAACCACGCCAGATGTTGGGAACTCGTTCATAATTGACACGGGCGCAACGGTTCATATGTGCCCGCACAGAGGACTATTTTCGACGTTGAAGAAGCAAAGCTTCACTGTGAAACAGGCCAACGGTCAGGAGTTGGAAGCGACTGGAATTGGGACTGTGTATCTTGAGAGTCTGAACTTGACTATAAGTGATGTTTACCTGGTTCCAGAACTGAGATTTAATCTGCTGAGCGTGTCGCAGATTGCAAAGAAAGGACTGAAACTGTCCTATGATGCTAAAAGCTGCAAGATCTACAAAGATGGAGAACTGTTTCTTACTGCCAAAGAGAAAGATGGACTGTATTTGTTGACTTTTGATCAAAGTGATTACATGAAATGTAATTCTGCTGTTTCTAACGAAATCTCTCTTGCAGGAGTGACCAGTGTGAGCACCAGGAAGGTGACTAAGACCAAGAAGGTCAACAGAGCATTTCAGCGGGTGTATGCTGATGTGATTGGTCCTCTAGAACCATCTAGAGGCGGTGCAAAATTTTACCTTGTGTGTGTGGATTGTTTCACTAATTATTCTTGGGTTTACATGATGGAGAAACCGCAAGAAACTTTAGAAAAGTTTCAGGAGTTTTGTGACAAGGTTAAAAGTATGCATGATGCTAACATTGATTGTCTTTTCACAGATGAGAAGCAAATTTTTCTGTTGCAGAAGTTTCAGAAGTTCCTGGATGGAAAAGGGATAGACCACAAAGTTGCAGTCTCGCAAGAAGCGTGGAACAGGGGGTTTGTGTAAGAGTGAACAAAGAATTGCAAAAGGGGATGAATGCGCAATTGCTGAGTTCACATTTGCCACATGAATATTGGGCCGAATCGCTAGCGTCCTATCTTCATGTGTGGTTGAGAAAGGTCTCAACAGAGTTGGGATGTTCTCCTTTTGAGAAGCTGTTCAATAGAAAACCTTCTGTTGCCTATTTTAAGGTTTTCGGGTCTCATGTGAGAACAGAAGCTCCAGGTGGAGTAAAGAATGCCAGAGGCATTTTCGTAGGTTATGAAAAAGGTCTCTACAGAGTAATTTTGTCTGAATCTGGTCAGGTGATTCTCACAAAGTTCCTAGAGAGTGCTCCAAAGCAAGAGCGGATAGTACAGACATTTCCCACAGAGGATTCTGATGATAATGATGATGATGAGTTTGATCTTATTGAGTTCAGTAGTACTGATGATGACAGCGATAGCTCAGACAGCTCAGTTGTCACAGTCATTGAGAGAAAATCTCACACAATGGATAGACCTTCACAGGTGAAGGAAGAACCACTGATTGCTACTGGTTCTCAACAGAGTCCAAAGGTTGAACCAGTGAGCACAGAGGATCAGAACCTCATACGCAGGTCTGAGAGAGCAACGAAGGGTGTACCACCCAAGAGGTATTCAAAGGAGTTTGCTAACCTTGCATATGTTGCTATTGTAAACGACCAAGGACAGCTTGAAGCTGTGTCTGAGTCAGAGACAAAGGCACAACAGAGAGTTGTTAACCAAGGTAATGCGAAGTCACACAACCAGAGAGGTACATTGGTTAAACCAGTGGCGGGTAGTTCCAAGGGTGGAACTGAAACAACAGGGGAATGTTATAAATATAACAACTGTTTGTTTTCTTCTCTGGATGACGCTTTGCTCGCAGCACACATTGATACTTTAGGGGGAGTATGTTACCATAAAGCACCAATGCTGCAGCAAGCAAAGGCTCTAGCAGCTCAGCCAGCTGCTTGTGGCTGGAAAGCCAGGCAGGATGTTTGTGACTGTTGCCATGGGAACAAAGGGGCAGTCCATTCTGTACTGAGCACCGGATGTTAGCTCAGTGTGTGTGTGTCATATGACCCGTACTGGATGTACTTGGGAGGAGTTTCTTCTTGCTGTTGTTGAGTGCAGACATGATTCTCTGTACTGATGTAAGAGGCAGAAATAAATGATGTAAATAGTTTTCTGTCTGCTTCTTTCCCCCCCTGGGGACACCAAAGGGGAGAGAGGAAGAACGGTGTGTTCCTCTCATACATCTGAGAAGAATCGCCGGACCTCGCCTGCTTATCAGCAGAGTGGAGACGCGGGGAGGTCGACAGGAATATCTGCCGGTGCCTACGCTGTGGCACATTCCTCTGACCCAGGCAGAATTCCAACAAAGGTTGCTAGCAATGATAGCTCTGTAGTTACTATAGGAGCATAGACACTATGCCTCTGAATAGCCTTTGCTCAGAATCAACCATGGGAAATGGACTTTGCAGAGGTATCTGATCTCCACAGTGGGTTGCTAGACTAGATAGGCCTTTGCTTTGATCTGGGAGGGGGCTTCTGCTTATGAGTATACTATATTGCATCCATGTTTTTACTAGCTCTGTCGGTGGTGTTTTTTGTAGGAGATAAATGATGATGATTTTAAAGGGACCGCGATCAATCATTTAGAGGTACATCCAAATGGAAGGCGTTTATTGATCCATACTAAAGACAGTACTGTGAGAATTATGGATCTCCGAATGTAAGTATCTAAAAGTGACTTACTTTGTTTTAAAGCGTTAAAATGATATTTGGGTATAATCTGTTATCTTTTCTTTCCACACACTTAAAAATAACCTAAATTGCCCTATTATTTCCAGGGATAGTAGGAGGACCTTAGACTTCCAAAAAGTTCTTCCTTCTGGGGGCCACAAAGCAGTATGAATCTAAAAGGGAGAAAGAGGCTCCTGGATTAATTCTGCATTGTTAGTGGGGTAGGTAGGGTTTTCCCTGGATCCTACTCAAATGTGGGGCCTGAGCCCAAGTATTTTTTATTTTCAATCATTAGCAGTCTTTGTGCATTTTAGTTAGTAGGTGGGAGATTGGAAGTAGGAAAGTATTACTAAAAGAAAATCCTCAGAAAATTCCCTAGAACCTTCTAAGAGACAGTTTGAATTCTGACCTGTTGCTATTTCTACTAACCAAGAGCTATACCTTATTTCTGTTTGACTGTATATCAGTTAAATTTCAAGGGATTAATTGGAATTATGATGATACTCTCAGTCTTGGTACTGAGAGCCTCCTATTCCTTTGGCTGATGCATCTAGATTGACTCTGCCTCTATCAAATGACTCTGAGGGAGGGTCATTCTGTGGTCTGAGGATGTTTGCCTACCACATCCTGGAGTGAAAATTCACAGTAAAGTGGAATTCAGCTTTTATAACATCTTTTTGAATTTTTTTCTAGTCTTGCCACAAAGAAATATATTGGTGCAACAAACTATCGAGAAAAAATCCGCAGTACTTTAACACCATGTGGAACATTCCTTTTTTCTGGAAGTGAAGATGGTATAGCCTATGTCTGGAATCCAGAAACAGGTATAGAAGTTAATTACTTTAAGCTGTTAGAAAAGAACTATATATTTTTTTCATTTACAGGTTAACATATTTTAAATGAGGCTTTTCAAATAACTTTGGCATAGAATCAAAAATGCAGAGCTGTTTGCCTTCTATCCATTGCTTCCTGTATGCTGATTTAAGTGACTTTTTGCCCCTTTCTGCTTAATTTGGAAGAGGTGTTTGTGTGTGAGAGGGAGTATCTGAGTTAGTTCACATACAAAAGGCTTTAGCAATTGCTGCTCTCTTTCCCTACCCACTGTGTGCCACAGTTTCTTCACCTACATTCTGGTTCTTGGTGATCCATAGTTTACTGCTTTGTCTGAACTGGGCAAACTGTGGTCAGCTCAAGCCATACATAGCCCTCAAATCCAAGGTTTGATTGGGTGTGAATAATCACTGTAGCTTGTATCCAACAATTTCATCTTGTTTGGGCAAGGACTTCTGTCTGTGCATGAAACTTCTCCACTCGTGTGTCCCTCAGATCTGTTTGGGAGGTGGGGGTCAGTCAACCCTCCAGATGTTCAATAGCAAATGGTCTTGGGGTAGAAATAGTGCTGATTCAGACAGACTCTAAGCCACATCTGGCACAGCATGAAGCACCTCAGAATGAGGTGTGCTATTTTCTGAAAGAATGAATTGGGTTCCCAACTGAATTTTGTAGTTGGTGTACAGCGCTAGTTTCAGGTTTTCTTATCTTTCCCACCTTTGATTATTTTTCTATCTGGCAGTTGTTTATATACTGCTGTGGGGCTTTCCTCAATACCTTTACTGATATAGTTGACATGCACAGCAACAAATAAAGTTTTTCATTAATGTAGACACAGCATAAAAAACACCATAGCAACAAAATAGAGCAGCAGATAAGTATTTTGTACCTGTACAAAAGGAAAAGAGGAGAAGCTAAACATGTTATGCACAGGATATTTGCCTATAATTCTCAGATGGCAAGTATGAGATCATTCTTTGGTCATTGGACTCATTAAAGTCAAACTAGCTATACTAATGAAGAAATGCGTGGCCATTTGAATAAAGCTCTGTCTAACTGTTTCTTTTTAATTTTAACTTTCTTTTTGTAGGTGATCAGGTAGCCATGTACTCTGATCTCTCCTTCACATCTCCAGTTCGTGATGTTGCCTTCCATCCACATGAGCATATGGTGTCATTTTGTGCCTTTGGTCAAAACCAGCCTATACTCGTGTACATTTATGATTACAAAGGTAATTTGTGTGTGACTGTATAGGTCTATCTAGCATTTCCTAATCTGCAGCGACTGTGACAGGCCATTCTCCCAACTTTGAAGCCAAAGTGGTGGGCAGCTATCATTCCAGCAGCCTTGCAGGGATCTCTGCTCCCCTCCCCAGTTCCAAAGTGGGGATATTTCTTTCTGTAATATCGGGGTGTGGAGAAAGAGATTGTGATAAGGACTGCAGTGCATATGGAAATTCCCTCTTGCCAAGCTTCTTAGCTGCATGTGAGAGGGAGATTTTTCACCCAGAGAGCAGCTGTTTTAGAGCTAGACGTTCTCTGCTGCACCCCTGAGTCCCCATAATCCCCATTCCTGTGCTTCTAATTAAATAAAAAACATGGGCATAGCTGCACACTACACATTTAGCATAATGTATAGCTTGGACATAGTTAAAGCCTAATATACTGGCACAAAGCTCTTGCCAAAGAAATTTACTCTTGTTGTGCTTAAATGTTATTTGCCAAGACTGTGGCTGCATCTATGCTTTTGGAGTGCATTGCCTTGCCAGTTGTTTCAGAAACAGGTTTTCAAAAATCTTGAGGATAGCCCAAATAAATTTAATGCCAGTAAAATATCAAAGCTAGCTTTTAGCGATGGTGAAAGCCAGAGAAAGGATAAAGGAGGTTATTGTTAGACCTGCCCCAGCATCCCCTAGTGGCAAAGAAAGATTATTGCAATGAAAACGCCAAAAATGTATTTTGAGGACGGGAGTTTACCAGCCCAGATTGCTAGGCAAGGGCATGTCTGCATTGCCAAGAATGCCAAGCTTCTCTATCGAAACCTGTACTACAAGATAATCTCACTCTTAGGTATATATATGACAGACATAGTCATTTCAGGGTGCCAGGATGGGGTAGCAGTCTCAGGGTCCCCTGAGCTACATCCCTGCATGAAGAGAAAAGCTTTTTCGTTTGTGTTTTTTATGCTCCTGCTACAGCTCAATTGTTTGCAGTGGAAGGGGGAGGAATTTCTGGTGTGGACATGCTCTTATGGAGCATCTTTTGCAATGCAGGAAAGAAGCCCTCTACCTCAGCTATTATATAAGACCTTTTTCACAATGATTTTCATTTTTTAAAAAGATTGTAAAGGCAGTGAACAAGAGAACAAATGGCTTTGGGCCTTTCGTTATTCAGAGATAAATGATTTTCTCTGTAGTGCTTCTAAACTCTTTACTCTTTATAGGCAAGATTTTCAGTTGTCTCCCCCTCTCAAATCACATATAGTAGAGCAAGTTTGTTTCAAGTATTTATATGCTGTCTTTCTGCTTTCAGCCTTGAGGCAGTTCAGTGAAGTCATATAAAGTATCCAGTCTATGTTGGCCTTCCCAACTTGCTGACGTCCAAGTGTTCTGGACAGAGGTGCCAAGTTGTGCCCAACATTGGGGGGGGGCGTTGAGTGTGTGTGACCCCACAGCCCAGCCAGGCCAACTCAGCCTGCCATCCTCTGCCCGCCTGCCACCTTACCTTTATTTGCCGCCACTGCTGTGAGGCTGAGGTCAACTCTTTCCCCTCCATGAGGCCCACTTTGGCGTGTTTCTTTGGATTGCCAGGGTGCCTTCCCAAAAGATAAAAAGCTTCTAGGGACCAGCCAGTTAGTATCCTTTCAAACCTGATAGTATCTTTCTTGATCTGTGGTATACATACTATCCAGGCATAGGGAATTAATTATGACTACAGTGGTACCTCGGGTTAAGAACTTAATTCGTTCTGGAGGTCTGTTCTTAACCTGAAACTGTTCTTAACCTGAGGTACCACTTTAGCTAATGGGGCCTTCTGCTGCCGCTGCATGAATTCTGTTCTCATCCTGAAGCAAAGTTCTTAACCCGAGGTACTATTTCTGGGTTAGCAGAGTCTGTAACCTGAAGCATCTGTAACCCGAGGTACCACTGTACAGATTTTTAGACTAGTCAGTTTTTTGTGGCTTCTCTGATCCAATAGTATACAGTCTTTTATGAAAATATGAACTTAGTGCTGTTCCAATATTTTTCATCTGCAGTTGCCCAACAAGAAGCTGAATTAGTAAAAGATTTTAGAGGATTGAATCTATCCACATCATCTAGAGGTCCACAGATTTTTAGCAATTCTGCTGATATTTCTGGACAAAAAGACTCAATGTCTCCTGCTGACCAGTTTGCCAGTGCTGCAAGGATGTCTCTGAGGATGCAGAAAGTGAAACAAAAACTGGATTCTGTTATGGTATGGTTACATTTCTTTATTATTTCCCCACTAACTGTTCATCTGTAGTGGGTAAGGTGGGAGGGGAGGGATTTAGGTTGGCTTCTTCAGTACCTCAATCTCTTTGCACCTTGGGGAGGGCTTCTCCTTGCAAGGACTCTTTCTGCTGTTTGAGGATGTCCTACTTCATGTGCTCTGTTGTATTAGATCCATCAGAGCGTGAGTGTATCCGACAAAAATAATGTCTCCTCTCTGTCTTCATTTCTGTTGTGCTTATCCAAAATATACATATCAGCTAGGCTCAGCTATTACTGGTCCACTAGTGCTGGTCGACTAGTTTGCATATGCCAAAGAAGCACGGCCATTCTAATGATACAGGCCCTAGCATCTTGAGTCACTGTCTTCTTATCTCTCTACAGCTACCTTTGAAAATGGAATGAGTAACCTCAGGTATACCCCAGCACCATGCTCTTCTGCTTTAATGTAACTTTTAAATGGACCGAATTAACCACTATCCAATACTGTTAGAACATTAAGTATTGGGAAATGAAGCTTAACTAAGGTTTGCTGCTTTTCAGCACACCTCTCATCATACTATTTATTATTCACTTTATCATATTTAAGATATTTATAGGCTGCCTTTCTGAGTAGAATTCTCTGCAGGCAACTTTGCCAGAAGGAACCACCGCCATATCCATAGCCTGGCCACTTGCAGCAGAAAGTAGGGGGAAGACAACTGGGCCCGATGCTGTTATATGACAGCAGTGAGATTGGTCAGGATCCAGCAAACTTTGCCCCTCCTACCCCATGAAATGCCTCATTTCATGGCTTTCTGCTGGCCCTTGCCAGCAGGGATAACACCAGTGGGCCACAGCTGACAGAAGGCCAGCTTAGCTGGGGGAGCTGAGTGGACCAGCACCTCCATTTGGCGCAAAACACTCACTTCACTGTGGAAGAGCGAATTTGGATTGTTCTACCCCACGATAGAAAATCAAAAATATAACAGCCAAAATACGCTCTCAGCACTTAATGAACGAGCAATAATAAAACACGCACCCAGTCAAAAAGAAAGACAGTTTCCCCAGATTAAAACGATTGTTGTTGTTTAAAAAAGCACAATATTTTATAATAATAAAAACAACAGCCCACAAATAGATGTATAGCGTCTTGAAAGCATGTTGTTACAAGGTGCACCAGCCAGGGTTCATTAACACTATCTCTTCTCTAGCTGTATTTCAGACAGGTTTGCAGCAATAACCTTGCTCTGTAGGGATAAGTGTGGTATTTCCTAGATAGCATGCACTTTGCTGTCTCTCAGTATTTTACCTCCAGCACTTCCTATTTCTGTCCCATTTCCAAGTGGTGGGTCACAATAGCCTTATGCATCCTAGTAGGTGCAAGAAAAGTTGCTACAAGGTGGTAAAAAATTTTACATGCAGGGATTTATCATCTGAGATCAATATAATTAAGTATGAAAAAGCTGTAAATATATTGTTATTACTTAAGGCAAAATAGGCACACACAATTGTATACTTTTATAGCTGCCAGAAGCAAATGCTTCAGAACTAAATGAAAGACCTCTCTGAATCTTGATTGAAGCGAACATAATTACAATTTTTGGCATGTCTTATAAGTGACAAATGTTTATATTGTACCTCCCAAAAGTATGTATAATTATGTGTTATCTTTTGAGACTGAGAAAAGGTGTGGCTTATTCAAATGTAGATATATCCTTGTATTTATAAAATAGTCATAGTATTTTACATTTGCCTTCATTTGACATAGTTGCAGGTTTTTTTATATTCATCTCAATAAGTTTAATAAATGACCTCCACTTTTGCTTTCCCTCCTCTCTTCCATTTGTACCCATTCTTTTTTGGCAATAATAATTTTTACTAATTTCAATATACAAACTACCTTTTAAGAATTTCTCTCTCTTTGTCTTTCCCTTAGCAGTGAAAAAATTCAGTTTAAAAGCTTTCATTCAATTTATTTGATTCTTCTTAATATTTTCCAGGTTTTCTAGTATGGATTCCATTATTGAAATTCAAGAAAAAGCAAAGCCAGGGCTTTGATGTATAGGCTTTATGTAGTTACTCACTGACAAGGATGAGGCAAGCACTTGCACGTCAGGGAGGCTTGGAAATGTCACACACACACACACACACACACACACACACACAAACACTGTTCAAATACTAGCAGCCCATTTTGGATCGATCAAATACTTGCTAGTTTGATTCCCCAGCATCTGTGCTCCACTGCTACCTAGCTCACTTAATATTGCAGGCGCATGCTGGACCCCCTCAATCTTGGGGGCAACCTGGAGCTTCTGGTTGGAGGTATCAATATTTGGGGGAGGGCACGTTTTGCCAAAGTACAACACTTTCAGTGGTGGTGGGGAGCCTAAGTTCAGGCTGGGATCCAAAATCGCCAGTGAGAACTGAGCATGCTCAGTATTATTATTATTATTAATAATAATAATAATAATAATACCCTGTCCATCTGGCTGGGTTTCCCCGGCCACTCTAGGCAGCTTACAGAATATATAAAACATAATAAAGCATCAAACATTAAAAGTTTCCCGATACAGGGCTGCCTTCAGATGTCTCCTAAAAGTTGTATGGTTCTTTATTGACATCTGAAGGGAGGGTGTTCCACAGGGAGGGTGCCACTACCGAGAAAGCCCTCTGCCTGACTTGGAGGAGAAGCAGAAAATGGGGGGGGGGGTAGCAATGCAACTGAGTATCCTGGAGAGCGAGCCCAAAGAGGAATACACCACATTGCAATGCTTTGTAGCAGTGTCACTTGTGTATAGCCAGAGCAGTCCCAGTTATCTGAAGCAGTTGGGTCCTTGGATAGGCAAAACAGCACTATCCACACGCAAGAGGAAAGGTATCAGCAGACGTAAGGAAGCCTCAGCATCTCTTCAAACCAGCCCAGTAGAGACTTTGCATGCTCAGCGTCCACAGAATGCTGACCAAGTAATGGGGGTGGACAGAAAGGAAACCAGAAGGGAGAGGAATGGAATGAACCAGGCCCATTGCATGTCTCATTTGCGACTAGTTTTGGGTTGGATCCAGAGTTCATTTAAGTGCTACTAAGTTCATGGTAGTTGAGGGACCCTTCTGAACAGCATGGGAGGTGGCGCCTACAGAGGGAAGGGGAATCAGTGAAAAGACCTTCCCCCTCGATCCAGAAGGAACATCTGTGAGATCGCAGCCTCATCTATTAATGGGAGGAACCCTTCTGTTTGCTGAGGGCAAATTTGGCTCCAACTCTGATTGCACCAGTATGGTGCTGCAGTGTAGTTGATTCTTTTCTACAGCTTTTGAGAAGTTTGCTCAAAGCCAGTTGTGCAGGATGTTTCAGAGTACAAGCAACTTGCATTGTGCACAGAAGTAAGACTAGATAGGGGTATGGGAGGTGCCGTCTGCCTGAAAACTGCACAGAGAAACGAGACTCTAATTTTAGAGTCCGGTGGATATCTTCCACATGCAAGTAAATCCTCACTTGTTTTGGCAATAGCTAGACAGCAGCTTTTTCTATGATGGCTTACTTTTCTAGAAATGATGTATGATTTGCCCGTAGGAGAACTGTAAATACTCAAAATGCGTTAGGAAAAATTCAATATAGGAAAATATATTTTCCAGTAAATTCTTTTCTAATACTAATTGGCTTTGCCTTCCTTGTCGTTATTCTGTGAGCAATAAGTGACATATAAATAGCAGCAAGTAATATATTTATATGTAGGATCAAAGTTCAGGTTTGCATAGATTATATTGCAAAACTATATTTTTTGTATTAGAGTGGTTTTGCATGTGGGGCTGCTCCAGTATCGAACAAAAGAGTGCAGTTTTTCTAATAGCTGACTATTGTCAGCTTCCTAGTCTGAGGAAATCATGATTTAAGAACTACTGTTTGTTCAAGAACAGCATGCCCCAAAGGCACAAAACTTCAAAAAGGAATCTTAAAAACAAAAAGAAAAGGCATAGTGCTGACTTTGCCAGCCTAATTTGACTTGCAAGCATATATGAAAATTTTGATTCTATTAGTTGAAAAGGTCACAGCACTGAATTATCAAAGAAATGCCAGAGAAATAGTTATTCACTTGTCCGGTCTTGAACTTGCTTCAATTCTCTTTATTTCTGTGTACAATTCACTTTTTTTACATGAAAATTAGGCCCATGGAAAATGAATATTTGCATAATTTACATAGAACGGCCATAATACAAAGAGAGAATGCAAAGCAGCTTTGTTTAAACTTGGCAGAAAGTATGTGGCCTTCTCTTTAAAAGCACACACACACAAACCCATCCCTGACATTTTTGTACTTGCAGTTTTACTCAACTCAGACTTTGTAGTAAACTGTCTGTGATAAAACTGTGGTTTATAGGTGAAGCAAGCCCCGTGCATTGTGAAAAAATGAGTTGATTGGTGTTAACTATCTTAGCCAACCTTTTCTTGTTGTTGAAAAGGTGTTTAGCAATCCCTTCCCACAGCCTACATTTCAGAAATGTGGATTGCTTCACTGTGATTGTCCCATAGATGTTTTTACATGCTGGCCGATTAAAAGGAAGGAGAGGGGGAAAGTAAAAGCCAGGCAGCATCAAGAAGCACGTGTCTACTTAACCTGTTTACCGTAAAATATACTGTAAAATATTTCCATTTTGCTCATGTGCCTCACAAACTGATAATAGCTCAGTAACAGCTCCAATAAGTGCTTGGCTCCACAGGTTGTATTGGGTAAGTGTCAGGTACTTCTGCTGCTCACTTTGGGGAGAGGGGTGTTGTGAGCAGATGTATCTCCGCCTCCTTTTTCTGCAACCTGCTTGTTCCCATAGAAAAGTAGTTTGAGTGCATTTTCAGGAGAGAAGAGCCTGAGCATTGACTCAGGAGCAGAGAGAATCAGGAACATGCATACCCCATTCATGAGAACAGAAGATTCTTCCCTTTAGGCAGTGGAATGTTTGGCTAAGTCAATGTTTAGAATTTATGTTGGGAATATGATTGGCTCTAAAGAATTCTCATGGAACTAATTCATTTCATGTGGGTGTGCACAAGGGAGCTTCCTATTTAATTTTATCTGTAGTCCTCTGTTCTTTATGGAGTCCAAATTGCACCACTGTTGTGGCATATTTTACATTACTACTGCTGCTGCTGCTGCTGCTGCTGCCACTGCTACCAGATAATCATAGGCAGAGACATATAAGAGGGTAAGGAATTACTGGTATATTTGTTTCTTGTAAACATTAGTTTTCTGAATAATAATTAATCATTATTATTCATGTTAATTTATTACCTGTCCTTCACCCCAAGGTGGCTTACAGCATTAAAACACATTATTAAAAACAATGCAGAACAGCTTACAACTATAAAAAATAAGGTGGGCCCTAAAAGCATAGGGGACGCGGGTGACGCTGTGGGTTAAACCACAGAGCCTAGGACTTGCCAATCAGAAGGTCGGCAGTTCGAATCCCCATGACGGGGTGAGCTCCCATTGCTTGGTCCCAGCTCCTGCCAACCTAGCAGTTCGAAAGCACGCCAAAGTGCAAGTAGATAAATAGGTACCGCTCCGGCGGGAAGGTAAACGGCGTTTCCGTGCGCTGCTGTGGTTTGCCAGAAGCGGCTTAGTCATGCTGGCCACATGACCCGGAAGCTGTACACCGGCTCCCTCGGCCAATAAAGCGAGATGAGCGCCGCAACCCCAGAGTCGGCCACGACTGGACCTAATGGTCAGGGGTCCCTTTACCTTTACCTTTAAAAGCATACACAGCAAGATTCAAAAGCCAAGGTAAGAACATGCATAATGAAGGTGCCAGACCCACCTCTGTGGGCAGGGAGTTCCACGGTTTAGAGGCTTCCACAGAGAATGCCCTCTCTCAGGCCGCCACCCCCTCTGAGGGCGGTGGAATTATTAATAGGGCCGTATGCCAATCTCAGCACCTGAGAGGTTCTGTAGGGAAGGAGGCAGTCTTTTGGATACTTGGGACCTGAGTCATTTGGGGCTTTAAATTCTAACCTTGAATTTGGCCCAGAAACCAACTGGCAACAAGTGCAGCTTTTAAAAAACGGGTTATTTGAGATCTAAATGGAACCCCAGCCAGAATCTGGCTGCTGCATTTTGGAGCAACAAGTTTCTGAGTCGTCTTTAAGGCCAGCCACACATAGAGTGTGTTACAATAATCCAGTCTGGAAGTTATCAGAACATAGAGTACAGTGGCCAAGGCATCCCTATCCAAAATGATTTGTAGCTGGCAAACCATCTGGAACTGAAAAAAAGACTCTCCTAGCCACCGAGGCTACCTGAGCCTCCAACAACAGTGTTGAATCCAGGAGCACCTGCAAACTGTGAACTTGCTCCTTCCAGTGAGTGTTGATAGAGCCCTTTTGAAGTCATCACCATGATGACTTTCCAGAAGTATTGTTCACAGTGGTAATTTCCAACATGCACAGCCAGGATCATGGTACACCGTGCTATAGTATACCTCTGTATACTATTATGTGAAGGCATTTGGCAGCATGAACTGGCCCTAAATCTAATCTGAGCTTTGGCAGACAAAGGACTCGGTTGAACCACACCTTAGTTTTTGAAAAGATTGTTCTAATATGCATAGCTTAGAAAATCAACAAATTTCCATTGGTGCATTACATTTCTATCCCACCTTTTTTTTGCTGTGGACCCCAAGGCAGTGCAATGTGTTTCGCAGGTGATCAAGTCATTGACCAGAGCTAGGCCTGCTAATTTTTAGCAAGGTGTTACCTGCATATGTCTTCTGATTGACTGCAGAACCAAGTAATTAATCTAGCCACAATAAGTAAATAATCTAGTAGAGGTAAAATTATAAGACAAGGTGACTGCAGAACCTTCTCACTTCTAGGCAAACTTTTGCTGGCCACATGCCAGTGTTGGCTGGGGCCAGAGGCAAAAAAAGGCAGAGTAATGGGTGCAAATATTAGAAGAAGAAGAGTTTGGATTTGATATCCCTCCTTTCACTCCCTTTAAGGAGTCTCAAAGCGGCTAACATTCTCCTTTCCCTTCCTCCCCCACAACAAACACTCTGTGAGGTGAGTGGGGCTGAGAGACTTCAGAGAAGTGTGAGTGGCCCAAGGTCACCCAGCAGCTGCATGTGGAGGAGCGGAGACGCGAACCTGGTTACCCAGATTACGAGACTACCGCTCTTAACCACTACACCACACTGGCTCTCTCACCTTGGTACAGTTGGCTAATCATCCCTTTCTAGGCAAGAGTCATTATAAGAGTTTGTTGGTTTATTAATGATATTTTTATATTGCTTAATACGTGGCATTCTTAAGCTGTTGTCATGGAAGTTCATGGACATATCTAAACATTCAAGGAGTACGTGAAGCAAGGACAGGGATGGGATGTGACCTGGAGAGAGTCAGTTTAACCCTTGAGCCCAAGTGCCCTCAGTGTGGCACGTTCATCAACCCATAAGGACTGAGACCATGTGTATTAAATGAGAGGTTAAGCAAAGATCTCGAGAGCTTGAACAATTTTGATATCTTGAACTTTTCAGTAACCCCATATTTCAATGTCACAGGTTTTGAGTGTTTATAAAGTGAAAAGAACTAGATTAGCCGTGTTTCCTCTGAAAAAGTGGAGTGCAATTTGCTATTGGGGAAGTAAACAAATATTTAAGTTAGGTCCATTTTTTTCCTGAGTCAGTTATCCAGCCATTCAATCCCACTTGTGTGGCTTATGAATGAAAACCTAAGCCTTTACTAGAAAACTAATAACTCTGAGAGGAATGTTAACTAAACTCTTGTAGGTATATCTTAAATCAAATTGAGAATATGTCAGCAGAATTATATTACAAGCATAATATAGGACTATCGGTCCACAATAGGTGGACATATTTATTACTTTGCAGCATGGAGGCAACAGTGTTGATATAACAATTAAAACAAAACGGGGTGCCCAAAGGAAATATTGGTGTGTGTTTTCTAGAAGACAGGATGGAATCAATAATCTTTTATAATTGCATTTGCAAAAGTGTATTTTAAAATCTACTGTATCATCTTTTTGAAAAGCAAGCCATTGAAATTTTCTGTTCTTGCACTGATCTAACAATAATTTTGCTGTAAATTTTGTGTCCCAATGAGGAAATTACAACTTTCCTTTCCTTTTGTAGACCAGCTCCAGTCCGTTGCTTCCTAGTCCATCTCTCCTTTCACCACACTCCAAATTAAGTTTGGCAAGTACACTGGGCAAACCACCAATTCCTCTGTATCCTCTTCCTACTCAAAGCGGTAAAGTGATTTATTCTGTTTTTGTATCATACTCTTATTTTGGTTTTGAATGAGCATATTCCATTCTTGCTTTTGTGTACATTTTTAACATGTTTAACATGCACACTTTGAACTAATCCCCAAGTGCTTTTAAGAATGCCACATTTTTATCTACTTTCAAAAAATGTGTATTGAACTGGTTTTATTGTTGTGGTGTTTGATTGATTGATTATACTGTATACTGCACTATATCTTTGAAGCAGTATCACACCACTTTAAACAGTCATGGCTTCCCCCAAAGAATCCTGGGAACTGAAGTTTGTTAAGGGTACTGAGGATTGCTAGGAGATCCCTACTCCCCCCACAGAGCTACAATTCTCAGACTGGTTTAATAATCGAGCCATCTTCCTGGGAATTCTGAGAGTGGTAGTTATGAGAGGAGAAAGGTCTAACAATACTCAACACGCTTAACAAACTACAATTCCAAGAGAAGCTCTGGCTGTTTAAAGTGGCATGATACTGCTTTAAATATATAATGCTGCTGGAGCCTAAATAAAAAATTATATATGTTATGCAGACTCAACAGAAATGAATTGGAAGATCTGGAGTCCGTGTTTAGCAGCAATTGCTCAAAGCAGTCAGAAAAATAAAAGATAGGAAAAGCTGCTGGTTTCAAACTGCTATACAGATCATTAACATCCATATAAAGTGAATGGAGTCCCAATCCAATCACTGACAGGGAAAAAACTGTTGAAGGCTGGGAGCACTCATAATCATCACTGTCTCTGCCTGCTCTGGAATAATCTTCTTTGTCTTAGGGCGGGAAGAGAGAGGTGGATGTGGTGGCAGTTCATAGACTCAGGGCAGTAGTAGCAGGCTGCAAGCAAGTATATATTTGCCCACTGCTCCTACTCATGAACATTTGAAGAGAAATGTTTGCCTGTCCTTGAATTCCTAATTACCACTGCTTTCTGATCATTACATTTAAGTTCCCTTAAGACATGCACTTATGTCCTATAAACCTTATAGAATTGTAGTGGTGGGTGGGACACCAAGGGTCATCTAGTCCAACTCCCAGAAGTTGAGGAATCACAGCTAAAGAATCTCTGACAGACGGCTATCCAACCTGTTTAAGACTCCAATGAAGCAGTCCACCTTTCAAGATATTTCATTCCACTGTTAAACAGCTCTTGCCATCAGAAAGTTATTCCTGATGTCTAATCATAGTCTCATTTATCGTTTGAATTCATTGGTTCGAGTCCTATCCTCTGGAACAGCAGAAAACAAGCTTGCTCCATCTTTCATGTGACAGCCCTTCTCCTCTTGATCTCCTCTTTACCAGGCTAAACATACCCAGCTTCCTCATAAGGCTTGGTTTCCAGACCCTTGATCATCTTCATCCTCCTCCACTGCACATGTTCCAACCTGTCCATAGCCTTCTTAAACTGTGGTGCCCAGAGTGCAGTATGTTAATAATGTATTGATTGTTGTTAGCCGCCCTGAGCCCAGCTTCGGCTGGGGAGGGCGGGATATAAATAAAAAAATATTATTATTATTATTATTATTATTATTATTATTATTATTATTATAGCTTCCCATGCTAGGACGAGATATTGCTCTACACCCTTCAGATGCGGCCAAAGATAGCAATCTTGACAGCAGCTCAATTTCAAGCCATAACCCCTTGGCGTATCACAGCTGCTCATTCATGTGTCTATAATCCATTATTGGCAAGGCTATCTAACAGCACTTTTAAAAAGCAAAATGCATTCTTTAAGTCAGAGGAATGACACTCCAGAAATATAAACAATATCTACAATATCTCAAACTTATTTTAATGGATCTTTTCAAATACATGACCTGAAAATCAGGATTCCAGGAAAATCTACTACAGTATAAAAAATAATGCATATGTTCTTAGATTTTCCCCTGAGAAAATCTCTTCAGTTTTGGAGACATTGTAACACCAGGCTGCATTGTTATGGTCCTCATGCTATATAAGCATTGTTTTTATAGAGATGGGGTGGAGGAAATATCAATTTTTCATACCTTTCACCGTCAACTATATACTGTGAAGAAAGGAATCTGTGTTAAGCAGACTTGGCTCTGAGACTTTTTTATTATTGCCTGATTTGATTATTTCACCATAGGAATAAGCTCAGCCTCCTCCACTTCTCAAGATTGGGGAGTGGGGGAACTCAGCCCCATCCCAACAGACAGCCCTATAGAGTTGGCGCCTTTGTATCTGTGTAGTTTTATATTTTTCTCCTCCTTTCCCACTGACTGGTTTTGGAAGAGGGAGATGCAGCAGTCTGTGGCTGCAATGAAGAGCATTGCTCGGCTGCATTCATGTTTTTGTCTGCTCATTATTGTTGGATTGCTCTGTGCTTTCATCATAGCTCAAACATAAGGGAAGGGCCATAGCTCAGTGGGAGAGCATCTGGCTTTGAAGGCAAATGGGCCAAACTTCTCCAGGTTGGACTCCCGCTGCCAGTCAGTGTAGGCAGTACTGAGCTAGATGGACCAATGATCTTGCTTCAGTATAAGGCAGTTTCCGGTGGAAATGAAGCCCTGCATAAGGACTTCCGCTTCCACAGCGGGGCTTCCACCCCATATGCTGTTGCTGATGGTATGATCAGATGAGTGCAACATTGAATTCCTCACTGTGCTTCCCAATCTACCCTGGGATTGTACAAATAAGGGTGGGATAAAAGTATACTTAATCAAGCTCATCTTTTTCATAGCAGTCACATGTTGGGTTAACATCTTCTTCAAACTATCCACTTTGATATTATGAAAAGAAGATAAGGGAAAGGAATGGAGGGATAGGAAAGATAATTCCTGAAATAAATTGCATTTAAAATACTTTGATTCTATGGCAACATCATTGCCCACTAGGTTTGAATACAGTTAGAGAATCCCCATTTGAAGTTCTAAAGCAATTTATTCTAGAATAGTGCTGTTGATCAATGGAACTGGTCTAAGAAGTACATTGAAACCTTAGCAAGTTTATTACTTTTGGACAGGTCCTATGCTATATCTGGACATGATTCAGGAGTTAACCACATGGGATCATTTCCTCAGTCAGAACAACTAACCTCTAGAAATGTTTCCTCTTTCTTAGGACTGGGGAGACTCAGTTCAGCTAAGCATAATTTAGAGCTGCCTAAAGTCAACTCAGCTAATGCCCAGGAAAACTACTGAATCTTGCTTTCCAGAAAAGAAGTGTAGCAAAAAGTGAGATCTGAACCAACCGGAAAGTTATAAAAGGGCATGTTTGTCCTTATGAAAAGATTAACAAAACTGATTGGGTTTTTAAACACAAAATTCTAAATGGGATCTTCTAATCACAAAGATGGTTTAGCATGTGCTAAAGATAATGTTTATTTAACATTATATGGCTATTTCTGTAATGACAGCAATTTGGCTATCCCCCCCCCTCAATTTGGTTGGTTAGTTTTTTTTTAAATATGACTTTCCAGATTCCTCTAGTTGACTGATAATTTTCTAAAAGTAATAGTGCAAATGTCAAATAACATGCCTTTTAAATTTTTGGCTTACTTAATCTGTTTACGTTGAAATCAAGACCGCACAGATTCCTCCATTATGTGTTCTTTTTTCATGTTTTTTCATGTTTTTTTCTAGGCATGTTAATTAAAATATTTAACTGGGGAAATGTAGAATACTGAGCACAATAGCTGCAAAACTTTGAAGATTCCAAAGCTTTATCAAGTGAACATAACTCATATTTATGTGAAATTGGTATATGTTAGGATAATTACTGCTGCGCCTTTGGGATAAAGGAAGTATTGTCAGCCAAATTATACAAGGGTGTGGATTAAATCAACCATTACTCTCTACTTGGCATTGATCATTGTGGGTTGCAAAATCAAGATATGACGTAGTATTGTGCAAATTACTTGCCAAAATGTGTTCCTGCCATTTCTTTAATTATATGGTAAAGTGGTTGCAGGAGGGGGGGAGGCAGCTATAAGCAAAGGATTGAGTAGAATTCAACTTAGCTTTATTATGATGAGTTACCATAAGCAAATAGAAATAAGAAAAATAGAACTACACCTGGGGTGGGTTTAAACCATGAATTAAGAAAAGGGATCTATTTTGAATTACTGATTTTAAATCACATTCTCTATTTCAAATTCCTATTAAAACTGATTGCTATATTAAAACATACAGGTTTGTAACTAACTACATACAGGCTTTGAACTTTAATTTTTTTTAGAAAGCAAATCTCTAGCCCTCTAAGGAAAATGAAGCACAATGTACAGGTACCCTCTAGGAGGCCTCATATTGCTTTGCCATGGCAATAAGCAGCACTATCACATTCTAAGGACATGCTTAGGACAGGCAAAGGCATTTGAGAAGGGTGTGGAGAGTTCTGAGGGCTGGTTATAAAGGTCTGGATTTCTCTATTTAGCTTGCTTTTATGCATTCTATTTAGCTTGCTTTTATGCATTCATGTTAGGATTCATTCCTTGTGTTGCAGTCATGGGATTGTTTTTATCACATGATGGTGTATGTTTTCATTCCACTTTGTGGGAAGTGACGGAGACAGGATGTTTCTGTTACTGTGTTTCCGTGATGTAGGATTTTTGTCCTTTGTTCTCTCTCTTTGCTGTCTGATGCTGAAGAGGAAGGAGCTGAGTCAAGATGCTCCGAGTGTGTATATGTAAATAAACGTAGTATAGCCAAAAGCTGTGCTACTGAGTCTGTACGCTGACTGCCTATACTCTGCCGATCCTGAAGTGTGCTGATGCCCTTTGGTATCAGTTGCTGTGATGTTCGGGCTGGAGAAAGCTTTTGAACCTCCTGGACGAACGACCAGGAGGGTGAGAACATGCCAGTCAGGCATGTGTCTCTGTCAGACCCCTACTTGTGTGTAAGACCTCCTGACACTTCATAGCTGTGCTTTTTTGTGTGTGATATTTTATTGCTTTCATTTTCTTTTCTTTTTTAATATGATTTTTATTAACAGTAAGAACAACAAACATCACAGTTCCAAAATAGGAGCTGTAAAATACCAAAAGTGGAATACCCATAGTAGTAACATACACAATAACTAATTTGGTGTTAAGCCAATATAACCTACAAAATCATTTAAAAAATCTGTCAAACTACAAATAACATATACTAAATCATTATATACATGGATTTTCTCATGTCAGAATATTTTTCTGAATATTTTATATCCATAAAATAAAATGTTGTTTGCTAAAAATATATAATTAAGTGGAATAAATTGCGGCCTAAATATTTAGGCAATCTGCAAGGCCATCTGGGTTTTCAGAATGCTTGTCTGGAAATGAATATCCTTTTCTTTCTGAAAGTGCTACATCAGGAGGGAAATGGGGTTAATATGCAAGTGTTGACTATTGTGGTCAGTGTAATTACCTCAGAAGCAAAGCTGATTTACATTTTCCAGAATGTTGCCCGAGTAGTTGCTTGGAAGTCTTTTTCTCTGAATAATGTAATATGAACACTTAGACTATTTCTCTTGGTTGCACCTGCTTTTTAGTCAACTTGCAATTTACAGAGCAAAGTGAGTAATGCAGAAATGGGTAATTTTTTGCTTTCTATATTGGCTGGCCCTTGTATCTGTGTGGATAGTGTCATTAGATTGTTTCGTCACAATATTGCTCTTGACGTAGGTACTGTATATCTGGGTGGAGTCAGGAGTTTCTTATATTCATGCTTGAGAAAGAGAGAAGATATAGTTCTCATTTATCTTCCTAATGTGTGTCCTCTAAGCCTTCCATGACAGTATCTGAGAATATTTTGTACTACAAATTTTTCATGAAGGGCTTTGATTTTTATCATGAAGTTCAGCCAAGGTGCCAAAATTTAGGTGTAACTTATATTCCCTTTAGTAAAATTATAGGGTGGGAAAGGAACAAAGGATAATTTAGGGTAGTTTTACTCAAATTGCAGGGAGATGAGGTATACCCTCTGGGCTGTCTACCCTGCCTCAAATTCTGTGTTGTACCTCCTAGCCCCTGTTGCCATCAGCATCCCAGCCTTATCACCTTGTTTTCAATTGATACTGAGTATGTTAATTGTCATTCCACAAAATGGGAATAGCAGCAGTAGCTAACAAGGGCAGTAGAGAAATTTGTGGAGACCAGGCGTGCCAGCTCTATAGGGCCAAAGTGTCTTCGGCCCCTTCAATATCTGTTGGCAGGGGGGCAGGCCCCCTCAATGTTGAGGGGGCCAAGGAAGCTGAGTGTGGAGCCAAGCATGGCATGGGCTCCTCTTGAGCGTGAGAGAGAAGCCGCCAGCCATTGAAACCACATTGTACTGGGCCCCATGCTTGGTCTCCTCCTGATGATGCAACGTTGTGTGTGTGTGTGATGTCACACATGTGTGCCAGGCACATGATGTCACACACACGCCACACACACCAGTGCCTCTAGTGTGGAAAAAGACTGTTTTGATAGGTGGATAAGAAAATCTTGGCTGGCCTCATGTGAGCCATAGATTGAGCAACAGAGATCAGATCCAATCACTGCCCTGAGGCAAGATCCTTCTTACAGCAGCCGCCAATTTTTGCATCATATATTCATCCTTACGTCCAGATTAGTGTTGGTAAATATGGCGACTGTTAACAGCCTGAATTCCCTCCACCATTATGCATAGTAAATTGTCTAGCTTAAATGTGAGGCTGCTAGACCCAAAATTAGAGTATTACCCTCTTTGTTGTTATTTAATAAAACATAAAATAATTGCTATGTTCCTTAGCTCAATTTCATTATCTCATATCCGTTCCTAATGCAAGGCCTGCTCTAAGAGAACATTTCATCATATGCTTCCAATAAATTTACTTGGAGATTCTTCTGTGGGAGTGCATGGAGAATTCTACTGGACTCTGTAGCAGTCCACTGGGACAGTGCGACCTGCCTGACATTGTGGGGAAAGGACTGAAAAATTATTCCCTGGTCTTCTCTACACCTACAATTCTACAGAGATCTTCATATTTGTAAGGGGAAAATACAAGGACCTTTCCATGAGATTACTAAGGAATCATTTAATGGGTGTGTCAGATGCTAAATATATTTGATTCTAATCTCTAATTAAAATGTTGGCTTTTATTGCTCTTAGATTTGATGTAACAGGTCTTTCTTCATTATAGCTGGGAGCTCTGTATTCTGTTTTTTTAAACACCTCTGAATTCAGCAACCAAAAGATCCAGCCTCTGTGATTGAAATTGTAGGTGTGTGTATTTTATATTATGTGTGTGATGTTGGAAAATTGGGGTAGCTAGTGGTTTATTTGTTCCAGTATTTCTTCCAGGGGCTTCAGAACCAAGGCCAGATCTCTTATGATATTAGAGGCAAAGGGTTCTTTGGGCTAAGGAAATAGTGTGCTTCAGTTTTTCCTTGACCAGTTGCTCCTTGCATTGCAGATCAGGGTTGGCAAATCCAGTGGTGGCTGCTGCTGGTGGAAGGGGGATGCGGTAGGTGCGGTCCACCCCAGGTGTCATTCCTGATAGGGGTGACATCTCCACCCTGCCCACCTGGGACGCTTGCTGCAGGTGGCGCCCCACACTGCCTCATTTACTCTAAATAGACTAGCCTTGGAATTCTCCCCAGGCCACACACTCTCCTCAGAAAGAGGTCTGAGTGGGTTTAGAAACAAGCCTACTATACAAGGCAAAATTTGCATTCATTTCTCTATTCACTTCTGCCTCCGGCCCTGCGCACCACTGACACGTGGCCCTCAAAAGGCTGCCCAGATGGGGAGGTGGCCTTTGGGCTGAAAAAGGTTGCCCACCACAGGTGAATTTTCACAGGCTTGATTCAGAACGGTCTCAGTTAAATTTCTGCTAAGCATGCTCCTGAATGCCAGGATTTCTGGCAATAGTAGCTTTCTTAAAGTAAAGGTAAAGGTACGCCTGCCTGTACGGGCCAGTCGTGTCCGACTCTAGGGTTGTGCGCCCATCTCACTTAAGAGGCCGGGGGCCAGCGCTGTCCGGAGACACTTCCGGGTCACGTGGCTAGCGTGACGAAGCTGCTCTGGCGAGCCGGCACCAGCGCAGCACATGGAAACGCCGTTTACCTTCCCGCTATAAAGCGGTACCTATTTATCTACTTGCACTTAAGAGTGCTTTCAAACTGCTAGGTGGGCAGGAGCTGGGACCGAACGACGGGAGCTCACCCCGCCGCGGAGATTCGAACCGCCGACCATGCGATCGGCAAGCCCTAGGCACTGAGGTTTTACCCACAGCGCCACCCGCGTCACCAGTAGCTTTCTTAGGTCCTTGCTATTTTTTCACAGGACTCTACTACACAATCTAATGGCGCCAAACTAATTATGAGTGGGTGAGTGTTAATACTCCACTCTGGGGAACTTCTGGTGCCTAAAATCTGAACTTCACTATTTTCACCTGGCCTCACCCCTGTGCAGGTATTTTAATTCAGGGGTGACACCTCCAAATCAGCAACCCCAACGCTCAAGCCAATTTTTCCACCTTCTACAAGACCCCACCAAATAAACAAAACAGCAGCAAATAATTAAATAAAATAGACACAGTGCTGAGTTGTATGGAGCCCAGCAGCCTGATGGGAATGCATTTTGTCCCCTACCCCAGTCATCAAGTTAATCAATTGATGAGCAGAGATGGTGCACTAAGCCCCTTACTTAGCTGATCTGCACAGATCAACTGAGGAAGGGTAGGTACCTCTGTATATTTGAGGGTTTGGGATTTCTTTTACAACCAAGAGGTATATTACTTTTATAAAATCTGTGTGTGTGTGTGTGTGTGTGTGTGTGTGTGTGTGTGTATCCTATATGCCTACATTTGAAAGTGTGCATGACCCCTTGCTATAAAGATTCTGCCCTGTGCCTCCAGCTTTTATCATAGAACTTCAGTGGCAAAGTTAAGAGTCAAAGCAAGACTTTTGCAAATACACCACCTGCAGTATTTTGGAAACAGTGACTGCATAACTATTTTGTTGTCACTGTAACCATCACACTGTGCTTCCTTACACAGATGCCTCTTGCTCTGGGGGTAAGCATTATAAGCCGGGTCAGTCAGGGTGAGTCAGAAAGGTTACAGCTTTTTAGTTTAGAAAAAAGGCTAGTAAGGGGGTTTGATGGAGGCATATACGATTATGCATGGTGTGGAGAAAATGAAAAGTTTTCTGTTCTCATGATAATAGGACTTGAGACCATCCAAAGCTGAATGTTGGAAGACTGAGGACAGACAAAAGGGAGCACTTCTTTGCATAATGCATAGTTAATCTAATTCATTCCCACAAGATGTAGTGATGGCCACGAGACTGGATGGCTTTAAAAGAAGTTGACCATTTTTTAAAGGATGGAACAAACAGGAGGAGGTTATCAATGACTACTAGCCAAAATGGCTGTGTTCTACCCCCAGTATCAGAGCAGTATGTCTCTGGATACCAGTTCCTGGGTATCACAAAGCAGGAGAGTATTGTTGCATTGCTTGCAGGATTCCTATAGCCACTATGAGATTAGGATGCTGGACTAAATGGGCCTCTTCTAAATAGGCCTCATAAGAAGAGCAGGCCTCTTCTTATGTTCCTATATTCTTATGTAGTTTACCTCTTTGACACAAATAATATGAGTATTCAACAGTAGTCTTTAAAATAAAATTGTGCCCTTTCTGCATCATTTATCTTTATTATTTAGGCTTATACAGGGCAAAGATGTGACAGGGGAGAAAACTGGGTAACTGGAGCACACATAAACCTGTTAAGAATGAAGTGTTGTTGTTTTTTCCTCTCACAGGAGAAGTGTTTGCAAGATTGTGGGCAAGCGAGCTCTTTGAGGTGGTGCCATCTAATTACATATATAAATATCTTCCAGTGTTCAAATATTTGTGAGGAAATTTATTTTGAGTGTGACTAATACTACTGGCTTAAGGGCTGGCAAAGTGCAGGTGGAGGTTGTGCAAGCTTTCCCATGGATATGTGCCAGTGCACCTGAATAATTTCAACCATTAGTTGAGAATCCAGGGAACTGATGAGCAGGTATCACCCAGAGCACTTAACTGAATGGTGTGTGTGTGTGTGTGTGTACAAGTTGACAGTTACTGAATTTCTGGTTATCACCATAACACACATTTGGGTGAATGAGGAGCAGCATGTCATTCTGGTGTGTGTTGCTAACAGAAGGGTTAGTTTTGGTCACCTCTTCTTGGATCCAATCTGATTTTTTTTTCTTCTGTAATGACAACTTAATGTAAGCCCTACATGTGATAACAGTTCAACCATATGCAAACTTTCCTCCTACTGAAGTTGGTAATCTTTTCTGATTAAATGACTATCATGAAAAAAGCCATAACATGATGAAAGAAGGGTATGAAGTGATAGGTGCCAACATCCTTGAGTAGTCCTTGAATAAGTTAAAGAGCAGATTTGCCTCATGTGCCAGTTTGTGGACACAGGGACGAGACTGGGGGAAATCCCTTAAATACTTTGGGCTGTAGATATCTGAAGGGCTATATACTCCCATCTCACTGCGAGTCCTGAAACACCTGTTTCTGCTTATCAGAAGACTGATGCCACTGTGCTCCAAATCTCTGGATGACACTTCCCAGTGGTTTCGTATAGAATTAGTCCAAATGCTTCCCCCAAGCCATGCCCACCTTGTATCAGATGTGGGGCAGGGCTCATTGGTACCTACAAACCCTAAAGCCTTTGCCCATACAGTTTTATTTCAAACCACATGGAAAAAGGAAAGCACTTTACCTGATCTCAAATGATTGACAGGTGGGTGTCAGATGACTGACAGGGAAGTTGGGGACGTCAGGATCCAACCCACCAGCTGGATCCCATTTCCCATCCCTGTTCTAGGCCAGCACTCTTAACTTCTTCACCAAACTGCACTAGAATTTGCAGAAGGGAGGCGGTATAGGGATTATCTTCCTTTTAAAAAAAATAAAAGTTTTTTAAAAGATGTTTCCTTCCTTAGAGCTATGCACATACCATCTACAAAAAGAAAAGAAAAAAGATGAAGCCATACATATTGAAAAGATTAGTGTGAGCTTGGTAGTCAGTCTAATAATACATGCAAAAAGACCCAAAATGACAAATAAATCCTTTTAAAAATATACTGTAGTGAGCTGGAATAAAATAAACAGCAAGATGTGTGTTGCCAGGAAGTCATATGATCAAAGAGAATACACTGAATAGCTTATATCTATTCTTTCAGATAAAATGAGTAGTTCAATGCAGAGGTGTTGTGATCACTTCTGGTGGGGGGAAAACTTTGTATGCATGACTCAAAGATTCAATGGCTGGGAAAGACAGTGCTGGTTTTAAATAATAGTGTCAGTTCTGCGTGCGAGGTGGTATGTGGTCATTGCTTGCAGTATCTTTCCAAACCATTTGAATGGAAATATTGGATTAGCTAACCTTGTGTCAGGTCTGTTAGTTAGATAAACTCTCCAACTGTTCCTGACTGAAAGATGCATAGCTGGGACTGAAAGCAGCTGCTGCTTTTTTATTCAAGTTTTTGTGAACTGTCTTACCATCATCATGTTTTTTAAAAAATATAAAATAAAATAAAATGATTTATTAGACTGAAAGGGGATAACAAGCAAAAATTTCACAGCTTTGTCTTTTCACAGGGAGCTTCATCCCAGTAGGAAACCCTTTTTGCCAAAGCCCGTCAGCTGGACTACACACGGTAAGCAGCTCAGTATTCCTTTTTCTTTTTGCATATAACATTTTTTAAAAAAACTTTTTAAAATCCTTCTTCAAAAGTTATCATTGTACAGGAGCTTTCTTATCCTTCCGTTCAGTCATAAAAGACCTGCCTTCCACAGAATCATTGTCCATGTAGGCTTTCTGGCTCCCGCAGTTGCTCTCTGAACAAAAGATCCACGATCAGCTTTGTGTACTATGCTTGTAAAACTCATTGCAATTAGGTATGCCTAGATCACAACTTTCTATCCTTAGGATGTCTTTAGATACATAGTTGTGGAGAATAAGGAAAAGTGGACACAACAGGACCTGAACTTGTATGCTAATTCTTTGTACTTTCAATTGAGACAGAGAGAGATTGACTCTAATTGAACTTTTGCTCATTGATTGTCTTATATTAAGAAGCATGGTTGCCACTTGTGTAATGTGTAGACTAAAATCTTAGTTGTACTTTGGGTTTTATTTACTTTAAAATAATAAAGAACCAGAGTTGTGAACAGGAAGGCTATTGTTAAACAAGATCACCTCATTTTAACCCATTGGTCTCCCAAAGGTTTCCCATACTCACCTCTATACACACACACACACACACACACACACACATTATTATCATTATACAAACACACACTATGACCATTTTTTTTTTGTATGGGATATGAGTTAAATTGTGTTGGGTTATTAACTCCTTTGTTACCTGTATCCAAAGATCATGATTAAGATTAAGGTGCTTCCTTTCCAGCTGTGAGTCTTGCAAAATAGCCATCCTACTTTGTTCCTCACCTTCTTCTGTTCCCTCCTTCACAAAATGCAGTGGCATAAATAATGCAGCACTTAATTACAGCAATCACATAACCGGAGTGCCCTCCCCACCAATTCATTTCAGACCCAGGGAACAGCTTTGCTCATTCCCATCTTAAAGCACATATTTTCCTCTAATGTGGGCAAACATCTCACCCTGAGTGCACTAGGGACCTCTCATCATGCTCAAGAGAGGCTCTGGATTGGAGATGTTGATTTATTTATTTTTTAAGCTTTTGTTTACTGGTTTTCCAAGCTTCTTGTGCCCCTGGATAAAAGCATGATTTATATCTATAAGCTGTTTTTCCCCCTCAATTAGTGCAGAAACTAATTTTCTGGCTACATTGGCTCACAAATTCCTGAGTGAGAATTACTTTCAGATATACCAGCCCAGAATAGCTGAAACCAGAGAGGGAAAAGTAAAGATGGGAAATTCATTATGGTATTCGTTAACTTTTTTATGGTGCTGGTAGAAAACTTCTAACAGTATGTAAATTGACATCCTTTAAAGTTGAAAGTGAAGTGTTTCTGATTAAAGAGAAATGGATCAAAATAGTTTTGGAGTGTGTTTGAATAATCTTATCAGTTGAATTATGTCACCTACTTTACAATTCATCCTTTTTTTAAAATCCCTGTAGGCTTTGTCGAAGCAGCTGTGTTTGCGTTTCTTTTTTGTGTTTGTACATTGCAGGACTCAGTAAAGTGCATCCTGGCACAGCTTTTCCTCTAGGCAGATTATAGATTCCCATGCTCATTAAATACTTAAAGGACTATAATCAAATCAGGATCATAGTCTTCTGAAAACCCAGGAAAGCAACAGTAGTAGCACCAGCAGTAATTTAATGATCTATGCCGTAGAAAGACCAACACATGACAGTAGTTTAGTTACTTTTTACAGGAGTTACTTATTCTGTAAGATTTTAACACAGTTGCTTCCTTTTCTTATCAATTGTTTATAATCTGAATTTTTCTTCCCACCCTAAAACCTGACATTACATGAAAGTTCTGTCACTGTGAGCTTGGTTGCTTTAGACATCTCAGAACTCTATCTCTGTAATTTATCTGGACAATAGGAATAATACTGTTTGGTTTCACAGAGCTGTTGTGAGGGTAAATGAATAAAATATTGTAAAAAGCACTTTTTCTAGTTTGAGTATCTTAACCAGGATATTTGTTAATATTGAAAATAGGTGTCCAGTTGTGCCACAGACCTCTGCTTCCTCAAACAAGGCTTATCCTTCCTCCCCATTCCTTGCAGACCCTATGCATCCCTAATACCTTCCACTGAGAATTAGGAGACCTCCCTGGAGTGGATTGGCAGGGTGCAAGAACATAAGGGGCAAAAGTGAATTCTCATTACATATGATGACATGACACTGTATCTCACCGAATAATTGCCTCCTAAGGCTGCAGCCTTCTTTTCCTTGAAGGCCGTTTTAGGGGCCATTGGGTTTTTCAGATCTCCTTCTCAAAGCATAGACAGAGAGGTTGGCCCTTGGAGAGGGAGATCTGACCTTGTAAGCTTCCTTAGTGAGGCTGTCAAAAGGACCACAGCAAGCGTTCCTCTGATATTTCAGGGGGCTAAAGGGAGGTAGGTTGGGTTAGGCTATGGATCCAAAGCCCTCCTGTTCCCCAAAAAGCCACCAGAGCAGAGTTTGGGCTGCTATAGTTTATTTACCTACCATTGGAATCAAAGGGAGGAAAACTTTTCTGACCCCATTTTGGGAACTTTCCCCCCATGAAATGAGGGAAGAAGAAAAGCTGGAGCTTATATATTATGGTTTGTCCACTGCCTTTGGTTCTCCATCCTTCAGCCGCTTTGAATTGCTTGTGCTCCTTTTACTTACTTATCTGTTTAATAAAGTAAGGAATATTCTTTGGACTGCTTTTATAGGGCGTTGTCCTCACAAAGTGACTTGCATTAAATACAATTAAAAATTACATTTTTAAAAAATAAACAAACCTTTTAAAACCAATTCCAAGAGAGTATGAAACAATGTAAAGGAATCACTTGCAACAAATGAGTAGCTATGGCTCATTTGAAAGTCTGCACTGTAGGGGCAATATGTGATTCAGTATATTCATTCCATCCCCATCTATAAGAACCTTAATTCTTGTCTTTGATCAGTTTCTACAAGAAGCAGAGAGAACCTAAAAATTACAGCATAGTTACATTTTCACCATGCAGTTCAAGAACCCTGTGCATGTAACCAAAGGTATATCAGCTTGTCCAGTGCTATTCAGTCTTCCTCATTCAGCTTAATTTTGAGGGGAAGCTTGAAATATACAAAAGGATATGTTCACAGCCATTCCCTGCTGCTCAGGATGTATCGGAAACTTTTGCTCCACATCCAAAGGAAAGTGCTGAATTGGGATGGAGATGTAGAGTTCAGTAGTTCTCAACTTGTTCCATAGCTGGAAAACATGCCATCTGCCAGAGGCATGCCCGCTCTGAAATTTAAATCTGACCCTATCCAAATAGTTCAAAATGTCTGTGGATTCTTCTGTATATTTTGAACTAATATGGGAAACAAACAAGCCCCGCGGTAGGTAGGGATTAGAGCAGTAAAAAAAAAACTTGTATCCTTAATGAAGTTTATCTTTGAGATTTAAAGTTGCACAACATTCATAATTTGCTGTGATAATTATTTTAATATAAAGTCCTGGAAATTAAATAACCTGCTACACATTTTCAATAAAGTAAAATTCCATGTGCGGCTTCACTATCAACATGTTTGTTTGTTTGTTTGTTTGTTTGTTTGTTTACAATCTCTTACCTGCACTTCATGACCAAAAGTAATACTAAATGGGGCTAGAACAAGCTTCAAAGCAGAGACATTATAAAAGAGTGAAATAAGTAAAATATAGCACAATAGAGAATCTCTTCAACAAAAGAATCTGGAAATATCCCTGAATAAATATATTTGTTCAATTTTTGATCTCCTCAACTGAGTCTTCCATTCTCCATCTGGAAGCTGATCTCTGTTCAGTGAAGGACCAGAGTGCCTATCTTTGCCATTAGGTATTGGCTAAAATTTAAAAAGTGGGATCCGGCCCATTTTAGTACTTTCTGCTTTCAATGAGATGTTGACGTGCATGACCTCTCTTTTGGCATTCTGAGCTCATTAGACTTTGAGATTGCATCTTGCCACATGAAATGTAAAGTATTGCACTTGGGCAAAAAAAATGAGAGGCACAAATACAAGATGGGGGACACCTGGCTTGAGAGCAGTACATGTGAAAAGGATCTAGGAGTCTTGGTTGACCACAAACTTGACATGAGCCAACAGTGTGACGCAGCAGCTAAAAAGCCAATGCAATTCTGGGCTGCATCAATAGGAGTATAGCATCTAGATCAAGGGAAGTAATAGTGCCACTGTATTCTGCTCTGGTCAGACCTCACCTGGAGTACTGTGTCCAGTTCTGGGCACCACAGTTCAAGAAGGACACTGATAAACTGGAACGTGTCCAGAGGAGGGCAACCAAAATGCTCAAAGGCCTGGAAACGATGCCTTATGAGGAACGGCTAAGAGAGCTGGGCATGTTTAGCCTGGAGAAGAGGAGGTTAAGGGGTGATATGATAGCCATGTTCAAATATATAAAAGGATGTCACATAGAGGAGGGAGAAAGGTTGTTTTCTGCTGCTCCAGAGAAGCGGACACGGAGCAATGGATCCAAACTACAAGAAGATTCCACCTAAACATTAGGAAGAACTTCCTGACAGTAAGAGCTGTTCGATAGTGGAATTTGCTGCCAAGGAGTGTGGTGGAGTCTCCTTCTTTGGAGGTCTTTAAGCAGAGGCTTGACAACCATATGTCAGGAGTGCTCTGATGGTGTTTCCTGCTTGGCAGGGGGTTGGACTCGATGGCCCTTGTGGTCTCTTCCAACTCTATGATTCTATGAAATCTCATATTTTAAAGCATGATTTTTGTGCTAATCTCACTTCTGCCTGTCTGTCCAAATGTGCGCCTTGGTATGCCAAACTACCCATTCAGACTCCTTGTCTTCACTATGTAACCAGCATCACAAATGGAGCAGTTGCAGTCTATGCACTGTCATAGTCGAAGGGTGTTACCACCAGATTCCTTATGAAGAGAGAGCTTGCCCATGTGGAAGTAATGTGCCTGAAGATTTACCCCACTACTTACTGATTTGTCTAATCTACGAGGACTTAAGAGCAGCCTTGTTCAAAGATTTAAATCTCCCAGTTGAGAGATTGATTGGGTAGCTGATTAATTTTTATTAGGGAGCAAGTCCCCCTACACTTCTGTCTTGCTTTTAGAGCAACAATTTAAAGGAAAAAAGTTTGTGGGGATAAGTTAAGAGTTTGCTCCCCTAAAGAATTTATCTGACAGAATGTCTGGTTTAAATTATCATTTTAACTATGTAATCTATTCTGTTTTATGTATTTTGTTTTTTTGTAATGCCTTCAGCAACACAAATAATAGTTGTAAATGTTGCTGAACTCCAACTCACATGAGCCACAGCCAATCTGCTCAATGATCAGGGTGGATGGGAGGTGCAGTCTAGCAACATCCAGAGGGCCATCGGTTCCCAGTTCGTGGTCTACAGTGATGAAGTAGTTCTCCAGGTTTTCAGACAGCTTTTATATGACATCTGCTCAAACTTCTGTCTAAACTGCCTATGACATGGAGACATCTATATTACCTTGTTATCAGGGGTATATATGCCTATCATAATGGGTGCTGTATTGCACAATCTTGTTGCCATCTCTACATGCTGGCCTGTGTTTTATGGCATAGGAGCCAATGAAAAGGTGGTAACCCTGAATCCCTTTCTCTGTGTGGCAAACTGATGCAAGTAAACCTTCCATATGGAGACAGCAGCTATGAAGAAGGGTTTAAAATGGCTCTTTGTGCATTTGAGTATTCCTTAAGTTTGTAAGCCTTAAGTCCACAGACCTTAGGAAAGCCTGAGCTAAATTTAGTGACATGCTTACTATCCAGTCATCATTGTTCCTTATTTGCTGATTTTTCAGTTTACCAAATTGTCTCTAGATGTCTTCCATGGGCAGGTTTTGTGAAATTAAGAAGTAGAAATGATACACTAATCACCGTTAAGTCCTTAAATGGAGGCTATGTATCATCCCAATTCCAACAATTGAAAAGTAAAACACTTATTTCTTTAGGTGGAAGCACTTTGTATCCACATATTAATAAAGCTTTAATACAACATCTGGAAGCATTCAAAATATCCCTGGGCATGCTGAAGTTTTTAATCTATTATTTCCTAAAGCTTACCTCAGCTCAAGGAAGTTTGATGGGGCCTTTGGAGAGCTCATAAATATCTTTTTGAAAAGAATTATAATGAGAATAGTAATCATCATCATCACCATGACTCATCACTGAGTAACAAGAGCCACTCCTTCCCTTCGGGTAAAACTCACTGCCTTGACAATGTTGCTACTCTACAAATGCTCATATCAAGGAATGAAGAGCCAAGAATAAGCTCAAACTTGCCCTATCTGGATGGCTGCACTGAGAAATGACAATTAGGTAAATCCACTGGTTCTCTGCTATAAGAGCCAAACCAGGCCTGATTTGTGTGTTTAAACCTGGATCAGCTGCAGTTCATTAGAAAGACTGAAAGGCTTGGTTTGAACAGCAAAAAGGGGTGCATGGGTGAGGAGCACAAAACTTCCTCTTCCTTGCAAGATGTAGCTTACCGTCCTTCAGCTTCTTTCAGCAAGTGTTTTCCCTTCCTCCCCCCCTCCCCAAAAGGCTCACTTTCTAGTATTAAAGCCCAGCTGAGGGTAATATGCTTTTATGGCTGCAGGGTGGCAAGACATGAAAAAGGGGAGGGTTCAGCAGCCCTCATCTCCCTGATCTTTTGCTGATCAAACCACACCCACTGCATTTTCTATGGGTGTAGGTCAAAGCACACATTTGCCACCATCGCATCTATTTTACCTAACTGAGATCTAGTATTCCCTAATTATAATTTTTTATTTTATTTATATCCTACCCTTCTTCCCTGAGAACCCCAGAGTGGCAAAAACTAAAGCGATAACACAAAGTATTTAAAAATAAATTAATGCCCCATTTAAAACATTTAAAAATAAGGTTTTTAAAAATGTAAAACATTCGCATACCCTCACAGGTAATAAATTCAAGGTTGCTGAGATCTTCCAGTCATCAAATACCTTGGAGACTCCACTATTGCCCTACCCTCTCCATGCCGGCCTGAAGCTTGCTAACTAATTCCTCCTCCCTCCAATGGAACAATCAGAGCAGGCCATAACTGTGGCTAGTCCACACCTCTCACCCTGGGCAGCAGAAGCCAGCAGGGTTTGGAAGGGGTGGACAAGCCACAACTTTACACCACTCCCCACCTGCATTAATGCAATCTATTCCTGTTAAATACAGTGATACCTCGGGTTAAGAACTTAGTTCATTCTGGAGGTCCGTTCTTAATCTGAAACTGTTCTCAACCTGAGGTACCACTTTAGCTAATGGGGTCTCCCGCTGCCACCATGTGATTTCTGTTCTCATCCTGAAGCAAAGTTCTTAACCCGAGGTACTATTTCTGGGTTAGCGGAGTCTGTAACCTGAAGCATCTGTAACCTGAGGTACCACTGTAATTTCTTCCAGAATGCTGAGTTTCCAGCAGCACCCTATGTGAGAGGAGACACTAGTTCTGGTTCAGTCTCTGTCCAAGAAACAGTAAGTACCAGGCAACTTTTAAAATCTATTTTCTCTATTGTGTGTTTATTTTTCATTTTAGCAATTGTTACATTTTAGAAGCACTTGTTACAAGTGCTTCTAAAATGAAGTGTTCTTCAACACTTGTTTTAGAAATACATTGCCTCTATTTAACACAAGATTACTCAGATTATCAATTGTATATAAAATGGAATTAACAAAACAGTGGTGTACACTTTTAAGTATTTCTTTAAAAGCAGTTACATTGGATGGATAGGGGTCATTGTGTACAAAAGGAGAAGGCTCTACTACAACTCCCCTTCCACAAATCCCATTCTCCTGCAAATGGAACAAAATTGTTGGATGTCACCCATCGGATATAACAAATTCTTTAACACTCAGCTATTCATCAAGTGAGAAAACAAGCAAACTTTTCTTGTCACTAAGCTTCTGGATTCTCTTCTTCAAAATAATGAACTGATGTTAGGAATTATATTCTAATAACTCCAGTGACAGAGAGAGCATGTATAACGTTCTTTATTATTATGCAGTCCATTGAGCCTTTCGTCAAATTTTTATTTTTACCTTAGGTGCCCTGTAAGGTTTTCTAGTTATTGCTGAAGATTTATTAATATTTGCAAAAGAGATTAGGTAACATCATATATTTTGCAATTATTTAATGGAATGACATCCTGCCTTTTGGAAAGATTTTTTTTTTTTGGGGGGGGGGGGGAAGCCCCATAAGTACTATGTCATAAATTCCATCTTCATCTTTTTTTGCTATCTAGTTTCCTCTTACAATACAGATGTTCTAAGTAGTGGCAAAGGGTTATCAGTGAGCAAAAACAATTCTGTCTTCCCACAGCCACTCATGAAGAACCATCACATGATAGCTGCTTTTCATTACACCATTGGTGAGATTGCACACTTCACCCAAAGAAGCCTGTTATTACAATGCCATCAAGAAGTCACCTAAAAAATGGGTTTGCGGTGATGTCCCAAACACTGGGCTTCTCTACATGGAAAAGGCATTTTTTATAAGAAGTAATGCAGTGTAAAAATATCCAATATGCCATGGCAATTCATTTGTGAACTGATCTAAATGCGAGCTTGCAGTGACATAGTCAAATTGGGGGGGGTTTTCTGCTTTGAGTTGCTGCAGGTAAGTGGATTCTTAAACACACATAGTTTCCATGCATTATGATTTGAGGACGCCCACAGCACAAAGTAGCTTGTCATGTGCAGCAGCCTTTAAAAATGCAGATCAAATGGATTGCTCTGCTAAACTCATCAGAATGCACCACCATATAGGCGACTTTGCCAAAATAAGTCTTTTACCTAATTTTTGAAATTGCTTTATGTAAACATAACCATCTTTACACCAAGATCAGTATACTGTGTAAGTAAATAATATGAAGTGTTGTACTGAGCAATATCAAACTTTTATCATTTAATTATGATTTTTTAAAAGTCATCTAAAGTGCAGTAGAAAAATCATCAATGCAGCATTTCCCAAAATGTTCTGAAAGAGTTTCCTTCTAGCAAAACTACCTCATATCTCAAATGTTCATTCCAATATGTTATTTTGTACCTCCAGGCAGATGAGTTCACAAATAAAGTGGGCTCTGAGAGTGGTATAACAATTCTGAGAAAGTAAATGTATCAAACATTATTTGCTTATAGAACCAGCAGCTGCTGTTGTTTTTTTGAAGCTAATCTTGGTGCCTTTGAATGTTCTTAACTCTTTCTTGAATCCCACAACCCCTTTATCTTCCTTCTCCTGCTGTGTTCCCACCAGCCCCAAAACCTGAGACAGCCTCAGCTCTCACCCAAGTGTAGCTTTGGTTACAGCAATTTTTCTATTAGAGGAAGTGAATGTTGGTGTTTCGTCTCTGTGGTGCATTTGTGATAAAGCTGTGGTGGTCTTATCTCTTTCGTAGGTAGTGGCTCTTTATGACTACACAGCGCATCGATCAGATGAGCTAACCATCCATTGCAGTGACATTATCCAAGTGTTATACAAAGATAATGATAACTGGTGGTTTGGCAGCCTGGCGAATGGACAGCAAGGCTATTTTCCAGCCAATTATGTGGTTGGCGAAAGTACGTATAATGCTTCTCCCTAGTATTTTTCTGCTTGTGGGGCCTTAACTGATTATCAAAGATTTGTCATTCTGTGCCGGTGTGCTGATGTATTCAGCATACATCTGATATATTAAAATAATTAAAGTAGGATTAAATGTGAAATTTGAACAAGCATGCACTAGTCTGACCAACAAACAAGAAAGTGAAGAGCTACCACACACTGAGACTACCCTAACTACCTTATATTGTTCACTCTAACCTCGTTGTAGAATGTTGTTAGAGTGAACAAGGTTTCAAGGCAGAGAGTTGCCCTGTCTTGCTGACTGCCATCACCTTATAACGGAAGATGTTGAAGCTGCTATCTTAAATGTTTAAAGCACGCACTCTGCTAAACATTTGGTTTTGTCCAAAAATTGAGGTCAGAATATATGCCCTTTTTATTTTTTAAAAAAATCAGGGATAACAAGCACTATTTTAAAAGGCATTCCCCCCTTTATATTGTGAAGGAAGGCATGCCTTTTCACATGGGAGGAGATGTCTGATACAATGGGTGAAAGTCACCTATGGAGCCCTGTCAGTGGAAGCCTTCTGCCAGGACTTTCAAAACTAAAATCATATGATTAAGATTTTTTTTTAATTAAGCAAATGTTCTCAAAGAAGATAACCACAAGTGCATTCACAGACTTAACAGTCTCAGCATAATCCGTACATGTCTATAAGTGTCTCTTTCCTTACAAAAGTGTCCATATTACTTATTACTGAGAATTGTACCCACTGATGTTAGAATTAGTCTCCACACCAGAGGGCACCCTATGCAAAAGTCCATCTATTAAATCCCCATTTTTAATTATTTCCAATAACTGCTATCCATATACCTCTAAATGTTTGGTATCTATATGATGAACTCATGAACGGATGGAACCGAGGCATATGGTAAACGTATAGCAGTGAGCAAAGGCAGTTGGCTATTCATTTTCTCAGTGTTTTGTAGTCTCCCTTCCAAATGTTGCAGTATTGATTATGTATAGAGATGGAGAGTACAGATGTATGGAGAGAGACAGCAGGCACTTCTTTCTGTATCATATGCAACAGCCAGGGAAGTACTATAAAAATCAATAACCTTGAGTTACTGAAATGGGTATATTGAATAATGATGGAGAAGCTGACCCCAAAACGCTATGGATCAAGTTAGATTATCTCTTTAGTGCCATGTTAGTCATAATTAATTATGATTCATTTTCAGCACAATATGAAGAACAACTATCTTCAGGTTTGGCCGAAGATTCTACTCCTCTTCTTTTCAGTGAACTGGGAGAATCAGCATCGCCAGCTATGCCTGGGGTAACTGTTTGCGGGAAAGGGCATATGGCACAATTATGCAAGATGGGATTGCATTTACCATTTCTTGTGATAACAGGTTAATTGCCAAGTGCTTCCAGCATATGTTAATTTTAATGCATGGGCTTGCATGAATTCAGCATTTCTCAAAACAGTGGAAGCCTGGAGGTTTTTATGCCTACAAAATACAATCCGTACATGTTGGGAAACATTTCATTTGGCAGAAAGGGAGAGATGAAATTTAACTAAGTTAAATTGTTGCTACAAATTGTTTAGCTTGATTTAGCAGTAAACATATCCAGAAATGCTAATAAAGTGAAGATTCCAAATGGTTTGTATTCCTTTCTAATTGCAGCTTCATGATAGATGGTTGTTATGTCAATCAAGAGTATGTTACATTCGGGATCCAGAGCCCTGTGCAGTGAGTGCCTATTGCAAGGACTGTGCACCGGAATCTTTTGTGGGCATAAACATTTGCCATTGGGAAAACTGATTTAAGTTAGGCATAACTGGGACAACTTCAATAAACATCAGCTGCTCAGAAAGATGGAACAATATAATTGTGCTCATCAGTTGCTCATTCATTTACTTTATTTTAGAGTCAGCACACTTAAAAGGAGTTCATATTTTTTCTAGTTAAATTTGTGTGTGCATATGCACTTAAAGATTTTGTATTAATTAGCTATCCTACATCAGCAAAAATAAGAAAAAGTGTACTCAAGAATTCACCTGGCAGGTCGTCTCAAATGTTACCCTAACCTGAATTCTGAGAGTAACTTCAATCAAATATTTAGCACTGTATTTTACAGTGATCAGGCAGAATCATTAACATGGCTAAAAATGAATATATAATGTGCAGCCATAACTCAAAGCCCATAGAATCCCACAGTGAGCTGCACATGCCCACAACCCCACCTCCACACCAGATGGCAACTTGGGGGTGATTTGAAACCTGGAGGAGTTTTTGAAACCTGGAGGAGTTTGTGAAGCACATGAGAAGCTGCTGATTAAAAATCACACAAATTCAAAAGTCCCATGGCCGCACCTAAAGGAGCTCTCTGGATTGTGGAGTGTTTCATAAGGGTGTTTCATAATGGCAATTTTGATACAGCATGGACAGCGGTTTTGCTGTTATTTTCTGAAATTTCCATATAAATAGATACAGATAAAGAAAAATATATATGAATTCTAATGAACGCATGAGGGGTACAATTTTGCAGTTGTACCATTTCAGAATATCCATGCCATCACATCTCATAAAATGCAAAGTAAAAGTAAAAAGTATTCACTACATACATATCCCATTAATACTTTTGTTTGAGCCTAAATCTCTTAAGTCCAGCATCAGATTCAGTGAGCCACACTTCTTCATTTTCCACTATATTTCTATGGAATGAGATAGTTAGAAACCATGCAAGTTGTCTGATTGTCATAGAGGACAAACGCTGGCTCCCTTGGTGCTGCACCCCAAAGTCACCTTTGACTGGACTTAACTGTCCAGGGGTCATTTACTTCCTTACCTATTACCATAGAGCAAAATTATCATTATCATAATAATAGCACTGTTAGCATTTCTGTTTCTAACTATTATAGACAATTTACAATCAAGACAAACAAAAATATATAAAAGGACTTAAGCTAAAGAAAGTAGCAGGATTATTTTTTTAACAGCTTAAAGGTTGCACTCTGCAAAAAAAAAAAAATCTGTCTGTTCTACCTATCTGAAACCAAGGTTCACTGGGGGCCAGGGCCTCCCTTGAGAGACTCACCAGATATTGGGTGCTACAGCTAGAAAGGCTGTGTCTTGCTCCTGAACCACCATATTTCTGATGGTTGGGCAGGCTCAAATGGAGGATACAATCCTTTAAAAAAATCTAGTCCTAAACTAGATTCTGATGTTACTAGATCTAATTTTGGATCTAGACAATAGTGATCTGTAATTGATCTCCATCATAGCACTAAGGTAGAATATGTAGGTGCTGCGTTACATTGAACATACCCTGTTGTTGTTTTTTAAGTAACAAGCAGTAACATTTGGAATTGGTATGTGGCAGTTTGTATGCTTATTAATTTCTGGCTTTAACTACCATATCTTTAAAATATTCTGACATTGCATTTAGCTGATATTTTAAAATAATCAGTGCACACAGGTGTAATTTTGGGATTTTTACAAACCTCCCCTCAGAGTGAAAACTGATATTAATAGTCATTACATTGTCAATAACATTTAAAAACAAATGCAGTCCCCGTTGAAGACTCATTCAAGCATAGATTCATAACTTGTGTGTGAGAATGTATGTGTATGTTTTTGCTAAACACACCTGAACATTTCAAGGGGGTTTAAAAGCTGTGGAACTGTTTCCTCCTTTTTAACCACAAAGGGTGAGAATTTCATGCGTGAGGGATCTTCTTTCTGAAGCGAGGTATATTCTACCCTCATTAAGGAAGCCCGTGGGTTTTTTGTCGTACACGTGTTGACCCCGTTTTCTTCTCTCCCCCCCCCTTCTCCTTTACTGATTAAAGTTTTCCTATTTTGCAGATGTCAGCATACTTCAATAAGTCAGGAGACCAAAGATTTATTTCAGAGAATGACACAGACTACCTGGCTACACAGTAAGCAACCATTTGTGGAAAGCAGCCTGCTTTGTTTGTTCCATTGCTTAGAAGTAGTAAAAAAAAAAAAGCAAAAAAAAAGTGGTGATTTTAATGTAACTCTAGAAACTAAATGGTTCAGAGAAGTTAAAGAAAATGTAAACAGTGGTTTGTATCACAATTGACAGTCATATTCCAAATGTCCTAAGAAATTTATTATGTCATTAATCCATGATGTTACTTTTCCTTTCTTTGGATGAATTACTCATAAAAGATTTGATCCACACATTCAACTGCTTTGTTAGATGCACTATGTAGAAACCAGAATATGGGAGGCTACTGCTGGAATCAGCGCAAGACGCATTACAACAAAAGTTCATAAGTTTAGGCTAAAAGAATACTAGGCAGAACAGAGCCAATATTCAGGTCGTAGAAGGCTGAAGAAAACTACACAGGAGGATAAGGAGATGGGAAAAGAGGAAAACTTGAGGGCAAGGACTCATTGAGCACTCAGTCACAATCCAGCATCCACTTACACTGGTAGTTTCTTTCCTGAAATACTCACTGATTTCCTGCCCTCCACATTTTCCCCTAGTCCACTGCTAGTTAGTAATGCTGGGCAAACTAAGATATGCAGATCTTTGTAGTTATACTAACAAGGTTAAATTGCACTGTCTATAACTGACTAGGCTACTATGGGGTTTTACCAATCAGAGTTGCATCTGTGAATTCTTGATCTTTTCCTCTGAAAATATGAAAATTATTCTCTTAGCATCTCCCTACCTGGATTTCTTCTGAAAGATCAATCAACAAATTGTCAAAGGGTTAGTTTAAAGTGTTCACCCACTTTCAGCATACTTGTCTTGAAGATCACGTTTCCTTTAGACACAGTTTTAGTGTGTCCCAGCACCATGAGATCAGCCTGCAGCAGCCTCAGAAGTGGAATCTAAAGGCTAATGATTGGGAAGAAGCATAGTCTAAATAGTTTTAGTCTGACAAATTTCTAACACAGTCTTTTATTCTACTTTCCCCATAGGAGTGGAAAGAGGAAGACAAAGAAGAAAGGCATACAAATGGAGCAGGCGGAAGCCACAGAATGCAAGGCTAATGCAACTGACAACTTTCCATCTAATGATGTTGAGGATGAACCTAAGAAAAGCATGGTGAAGAAGAGGAAGAAAAGAGCTGTCAAAACTGCAAGTTCAAGTGGAACTTCGAATGATGCTTTCCAGCTGGACTCTCCCAAAGCATAGTCTCTATTTTGTTTTTGGATGCTGATTTCATGGATAAAAAGTTGTATGGAAAAACATTCCACTGTTTATCGTGGAATGATGATATCATGTTTATCATGGTGTGGTGAGCCCAAGGAGAAGAGCATGTACTGAATGTTCCACTGAAATGCATATGAGTTCAAGCAGCAAGTATGACTTCAGTATTTCATTTTTGCGAATAGAAAACACTTTGAAATATCTCAATATTTCTCAATTGAAATATCTTCAATACTATTGAAATAATCAGTTTTTGTTGGGCCTATTCATGTCAAGATAAAGTGGTCCAAGAATAGTTTGTTTAAAATTTAAAAAAGCACTTTCATGGGTAAAGTCAAAAGAACTGTTTACTGAAGAATAGCCTTTGCAACCGTCTCACATACTGATGTGCATCTGCAAATGAGAGTGAATAATCATATGAGTAAATGCCAGCTACCATCACTACAGAATGCAATAGATAGCTTTTTGTATATTGATATTTAAAATAAAAGTTTTAATGTATATTATTAATGCACATTAATGTTAATAGTATTAAAACAATGCAATAGTAATACAATAAGTTTTGCAGAATTCTGTTTTTGTTACACTCAAAGCATTGCCAAATTCGTTTTCTACTTTGTTCTGAAAACCTGTTTTGCATCAATATGTGGGTGGGATATATTTTTGTGACATATTATGTTTATGCTCAGGTGTAACTGTTTTTAAATTAAAAGGCATTAAGTTGTGAAGGAATTATTCATGATGATTTCCGGTGACTTTATTTATGGTCCTCTTGTGTATGTTGACTGCGGATGTCCAGGTTATTTATACCATGTTAGGAAATTCTGCCCCCTTCCTTTCTGAGGCAATAAATAACATAAAATTAGAAAACCCTTTTTTAGTAGTCATGGCATTTGATTCCATTAAAAAGAAAGAAGTGAGAATAACCATGTTGACCACTGATGTGTAAAATAACATCCAGATGCAAAGGATTAAATACTATATACATATAGTATCCCTGCATATGTTTAGCAGACACAGAAACACATAAACATGTTTATCTGCATAAAACTCAGTTTCCTCCTTCAAAAAACTCTTGTAAAAATGTAGTTTGTAAAGGAGAACATTGCAGTAACCCAGGCTGGATGTAACTAGGTCAGGGGTACCAATGTGGTGCCTTCCAGACAATGTTGGAGTACAATTCCCGTCATCCTTGACAATTGGCTGTGGGAGTTTGAGTCCAGCAACATCTGGAGGGTGCCATGTTAGCTTTTCCATGTTGGTTATAAATAAGTGAGGCCAGATACAGTATACTCCCTCCAATTAGGATTTTAGTTTAGGAGTCAGCCAAAGGGTCAGAACATCTCTATCCGCATCATCAGATTCATCAGCCAACAGCATCTGCATCTTACCCAGATTACTTTTCAGTTTATTTGTCCTTATCTACACCATAAGTGCCACCAGACACTGATTCAGGGTTTCCACAGCTTCCATAGAATCAGAGTATGGAAACAAGAGCTGTGTGTGATCGGAATACCAGTGACACTTCAGCATAAACTTCTGCATGAATTCTCCCAGCTGTTTCGTTATAGGTATTGAAGTGCATGTGGGACAAGGTGAAACCCTCTGACACCCTGTAAACCAAATGCCATGGGATAGAGGACTAGTCCTCCACCTACAAGGAACAACCCTCCACCACATTGGGGAACCAATGCCACCATAAAACAATACCTCCCAGCCCCACCTTGGGAAGGTTTTGGTGGTACTGAATGCTCTTTAGGGGTCCACAAGTAACAATGGGATCACACACTCCACCTGTGTATCTCCCCAGTATAGAACATCTACTAGGGTGAGCAGGAGTTTTTTTCAGTTTTAGAATCAGGTTGGAATATAGAGTGGAATGGATCTAGTTAACTGGTTCCATCCTGTTAATCTGTAGTTTAATACATGAAATTGAGATGCCACTGAATGCATATAAAATGTATTTCCTAGAATACCAGATGTTTGTAAAGGACGGGGGTGGGGGGCTATCATTTTTTCAAGTCAAGTTTAGAGGACTGAAGTCACAATAGCTTGTTCCCTTGTGATACCTAACACTTCGCATTTCAGACTCCTCTGCATGCTTAATATTCTAGCTCTCTGCTCTTTTAATATTCTAGAGCTGCTGGTGGTGATGTTCTCATTTCATTTCTTTTTTTCCTTTACACAAAATCTCTCGTCATCTTCAGGTTTTGAAAGTAAATAGTCTAGCGTGACATCATGCTATGTATCTGAGAGAGCTGAGCAGTAGCCAAGATCTGGATGCTCGTTTGGAAGGCATTGTTAACTATTAATTTGACATTGTGGACACTGAAGACAGAAATAACACTTCACATAAACACCATACTGATGTGGCTGTAATCAAAGGCACAGCGCCTCCTTTCATGCTAGCAAACTGGGACTCCAATTATGTTCACTGCTCTGAAGCTGAATAGAGCTGCTTTGCCACACTTTCCAAATTGAGAGTGGAGATGCAGCAGCAGTCTCTTCTAAGGCACTGTTCCAAATAACAATTAAGGAGAGAAATCAGATAAAAGGCCCAACATGAAGATTTATGGAGCTGAAAATATTCTCTTTAAAACAGTGTTGTTGCTATTGTCATTACAAACAAAAGCATAGGTTTTATTTGCATTCACCTTCCTTTCCACACATGGGAGTTAAAGTTTTCTACTGCTTTGCATTCTTAGGTGCAGAATTAATAGCTATCCGCCGTTCTTTGTTACACAAAGTACACAGATATGTATTCAACAAAATGGTGCACAAGTGATTTTCCAACGCCTAGCATTAATATCTCGTCTCCCTTAATGTGAATAAGTATCAGCACATCACAAAACTATTTCGCATCATTCTTCTCTTTGCAGAATTGTAACCAACAAACCATACAAAATTTTCTGTTACCTTTTCAGAGAGGATTTTCCCCAATAAAAATTATATGTAGTAGAGGTGTCTTTTGTTCAGGGATGCGGAGAAATGTTCATTTATGGGTTTGAAAAAGTGTTCATTGGTGGAATGGGTTTCTGAGATGATCAGTCTGTCAACAGGGAGTGTGTATGTGGTGAGGGTGGAATCAATTGAGCAGATTGATACTGGAACTGAATCTAAGAATCTCTTTGACCACAACTTTGCTTCTCCCCTCACCTGTTGAAGCTTGAAGTACAAATGCCTGTCTGAATGTGATCTTGATCTGCACCCTGTAACATGTTGTGCAACCGCACACATGTACATGTACATGCTAAATTCTTAAGAACTGGGTCATTGTATTTTCTCAAACTCGGCTTCATCTTAATAGGTACCACTTCAGTTCTGCACAATTTCTTAGCTGCCGCTCAAAATCCTTCTCCCTCCACCCTTAATAGGAAGATCCACATATGTGGAAGACACATTTCTTAGCTGCCACCTCATATCCCATCTGGATCACATATAAGAAAATTGCTCTATTTATTGGAAGCTCACTTGGATACTTTTATAAAATGGTTCTGTTTAAAGAAAAATGTTGTATTCCAAAGCAAATGCCTTTGTGTTGTTGTTTTAGTGCAGTTGCAAAGTTAATTGAAAAAAAATAATAATTTGGCATTGCATGATTTATTGGGCAAAACTTTCCAGGCTGGAGAGGGTTTCCTAAAAAGTCGCCATATAACTCGTTAATTACAATAATTAATTTTGAAGCGAAGAAGGCTAAGCTATATGGGCACAACACCAGGAAGTTTAAAACATGAGTTCTATTGAAACAGTAGAGCTCTGGAAGAACCTGCTACAAGCTTTTGTGCATTTAGGGGGTTTAGAGGCTGGGCATGATCTGTCGTTTTCTGTTTTCCTTTACTTTTATTAAGTTATAGCCCATCTCTTTTGGAAAATCAAAATAGCTTTTAAAGTCTGATCCTAGTTTAACATGTATAAATAGTTCAGCAAAGGCACAGTGAACAGCATACTGACAAACCATTAAAAGGAAAAGAAGAAGATGACACAAGTTGCCCTTGCCAGCTCCCACAACCATCATGTTGCATTTGGGTTTTGCCTTAAAGTCTTTTAAGAAACAGACATCACGAATCAGAGCAGTGTACTTGTAGCATCACTTAATTCAAAAGGCAAAAGGGGATCACAATCAAACAAGGGCTAATGAGAACACAGAGGAACATGACAATTGAGAGTCTCCGTTGACTAGCGAACTAAGTCTGCCGGCTGGACCCAATTGTCTACCAAAGAATTGAATGTCAGGATCATTTAGGGTTAACAATGGTCCAACACAAGAAAAAGCAGACAGCTATGAAAAATAGCCGGCATGGTAGCCATTCTGCAGAGACCAGGGATACAAACTTGATAATGAGGCAGTGCATTCACTGCATCCTTCTGCTCTAATTACTAAGGTGAATAGGAAATACTTAATTGAAGACGGGAAGAGGATAAAGAAGGGGGACAAAACACTTGTTTTGTAAACACAAATAGGAGAATATTATTTAAAGAAACCTTTTCTACTATATGTGAAATAGTAGCCACAACTCTGCAGTAACTGCAGCATACATTAGCAGGTGCCGTTTATGAAACACTTGCAGTGCAGTAAGTAACCAAATTCTTTTTGTAAAAGGGGAACTGTTCAGTAGGTGATGGTTTTTAAGTAAGCAGATATAATTCTGAAATCCTAATGTGTATTCTATGGAACTGTTTCTTTAAAAGAATAGCTTACCTCTAATAATAAATACACTTTCATCATTTAAAAAAATAAATGAAAGAATCAACATTGTACAGGCAAAAAAGTAGAATTTGTGTGTTAGAACAAAGATTGGCAAAACATGGATGGGTGCTGTGTCTTAAAGTATTTTGGTCAAAAAATATATCATTTGGTAGCTCTGAAGGGAAACAATAGCTGGTGGTTAAAAAAACTTTCATTTCTAGTTCATTATTTCATCTACAATGATTTGAAAATGATAATTATAAAAGTTCCCCATCAATTCAAAGTTCCTTTGGGTTTC